CTGAAACTATTATATATATATATTTATATTGCTTTTCTGCATTAGTTTATTCTAGAAAATCATTGATTTGGTCGGTGAAAAAATAAATCAATATGTTGATCTGTGCTTTTGCTAAATTCAATAATTATGGTAAGAAAACTAAATGAACAGATGTTTATTATTTCAGCTTTTTTATTCACTAAAATTTATATAGAAAACTAAATGCATATCATATAAAAATATATTAACATAACTTAAATTGAATATCAAATATTTTTTCTGAAAGACAATTTCATATGCTTATTTAAAGAGATTTTTTTTTAAACAGCATACAGGCTATATATTGATTAAAAAAAATTTTTCTTTAAAGTATGAAAATACACTAACTTGAAACGTATTTTCCTGTAGAGTTTAATTCTCTCTATACCTAACCTTGTCAGAACTATCATCACCGTCATATTATATAATAGTAAAAAATTATAAAACTATCACAATTATAGAAGTTTAATATAAATTAAGGTTTCCTTTAAAAAAACATTTACATATTGATGAAAAAGTTCTAAAGTGACAAAATTTTAATAGTAGTGTATAAGAAAAGGCCTGTTATGAATCAGTGCAGTTTTACTTTGAAGCTTTTTGTAAATATGTAAATGTGTTCTTTAAACATTTTTAAGTTTAATAAATTCTTATAATTAAGGCTATGACAAAGGCTAATTTTATATGCTGGTTTAATAATTAAACATTTTTTCATTTCAAATACCTTTTTCAGTAGAAGCACTCTGCAAGAAAAATAATTGAATTTTTGTTTTTAAAAAAATTAAATTTTTCTACAAAAGTAATATTTCATATTATTAACAGATATTGATCATGAATCAAGACAGATATTCATTTTATATTCTGCTTGTTAAAAACAAATAGAATATAAAATGAATATCTGTCTTCATTCATGTTAAAACATTTCTAATTGAATATCAAAATTTATTTAACTTTTAGAATTTTAAAACATCTATTAGATGTTTCTCTTTAAAAAAATTAAGTAAAAAAATGCCTTGTGTATGGTATATAATGTAATTATCAATAAATTTTTATTAAATATAATGTATAATTTTAAAATATAAAGTTATATATTCAATTTTCATTAAAATTATTATAATAGATTATTATGATGATGAATATTTGTTAATTTTAAAGCAATTTCGAACAATATCTGTAACATTGTTTCATGTAGGTTTTATGGAATACACGTTAAGTTTAAAATGATGTTAAACTCTATAGTTATTGTGTACAACATTAAAACAGTAATTATAGTCATTAATGAATGGAAGTTTTATTTAAAAAAAAAAAAGTGAACAAGAAAAAATAACAGTACATTTTTAATGAAAATTTTTAAAATTAATTTTCTTCATACAATGTGCTAAAATAGTAAAATTATTATTTTATAAAATAATAATAGTTTTCTTAATTTCTTTATTAGATTAAAAATTTCTTATTTATAAATTATCTATGCATTTAAAATTTTCAACATTTAATGCCTTTCAAATTCAAATGCTAGTTTGAGCAAATAAATCTTATAAAATTCTTGTGTTTTCTTTGCTTAAAGAAAAAAAATCTATTTAAAGTATTTGACATTGTAATAGTAATACAAATTTGATATAAATCTTGGTGTTTTTTTTGTAATGGAACTTTTTTCTATATAATAAGACACCACATTCTGTTAATTTTTTTATTAAATAAATTTTTCTTTTTCCAGGTTATATAGAACATTTCTTTAAATTAAGAACACAAATTCTTAAGATTCCAGAACATTTCATACTTCCATCAGCCAACTAATAACATCTAAGCTAATGTAGTGCCCTCTGCCAATGTATTTTAACACTCAACAATTTAAAATTCACAATACTTACAGACCAAATTTTTATTAACTTTGGCATTGATTTTTAAACATCTATCAACCCTGTCTGTCACTTGCTAAAACAATTCCTACTCCAAGAACACTTATTGCACAAAAATCTAGTTTCCCCACCCTCCATCTGCTTTATTCTCTTCAGCCTTTTTTTTTCCTTCCATTCAGGACGTTCCTCCTAGCTGTTGGGAGACTTTCCAAATATTTAATATTAATAACCTTTTCCTCTAAACTACTTATAAATCTATAACTGTTCAAGTCTCTTATATTTTCTTCTTCTGTCATCTCCTCAAATGGCATTTTTCAAAATTACTTTCACTTCCTTCCTCATTCCTTCTTGACTCAATGTCATAATTACCTTTCCAGCTTCCAGAAATTTTTTTGGGGGCAGTTTAGAAGTAACAGAACAGCCATTCTCAATGTGGGTTAGGAACACAGAGAACTGAAGGGGGTAAAGACAAAACAATTAAAAATGGAACACATGCATAATTCAATTTTTTCAATAGAAGATAATGACAACAAAACTTAGTGGTGATAATACTATAACCTAAGAATTTACATTACTTATTTAAGTTTTATGCTTTAGCCTTGTATGACTGGTATGTTTATATATTTATAACCTCCTAAGAAATATTCAGTACTACCTGAAAATGAGTGCCTCATCTGCACAGAAATCCCAATGAAGGACAGGTAAAAATTATCACTTACAAACAATTTAAGATAAGAGCAAGCAAAACCTTCTGGCTTTGCCTGCCTACTTTTCTCTATTGTCTTTTAGTTCAGTCCTAGTTGTAGAAGTAACTATACAGTGATTGTATCATCAGTAACAGTCAAGTGTGTTTAGAAAAGAAATATTTTCAATTTGGATTTTGGATCCATTTAATGCACAACTTAACAATGTTAGAGCTGAAATTTAGTAAAGTCTAGTAAAGCTTTAAAGTGACACAATGGCACAAGCAAAATTTACTCAATGTAAACAGTATCTCATTTTATCTAAAAATTAAGAAATTTCCTAAATTGTGAGAAATAGCCAAAATAGTTTTCATTCACATACTTGGTTGAATGTGGATTTAGCAAAGTTGTCTCCTTAACAGACTGAATTTCATAGTAAGAGATCATTGGCTATTATTGCCCAATTTGGAATCAGATATCGGATAACGTTATCAAGAATGTCAACCAAAGATTCATATTAAAAATATGAAAATAAAAATATTTTAAATTTATATACCTTTTTATCATTAATGTTTTTCTATTGTGGTTTGTAATCAGTTTATTCTTATGTTTATAACTCATTACTCTCATTATTTTATTTTCTTTCGAATTTCCTGTTTTTTTATTGAAAGTTTATTTTCAATATTTTAGCAAGCATAATCTCCTAAGAACTGTATATGATACATGAATAAATACACACAAAAACCAGAATATCTAGCAAAAATAAAGTTGAATACAAGAAACAAATGTTTTTGACAGTTTTAAATTATCATCTTCAGGTTGATAAAATAGAACAGGATTTCTTTTAATGAATTTTACAGAATAGAATATGCATATGACAAATGATGTCATCCCCTGAAGATAGTTTGTAAGTCGAGATTGCTGGATAAAAAGGAACTTCATACAATCCAGGTATGGAAGAAAGTCTCTGCATCCCTATGATTAATGGCAGCATCATTAAAGGATGCTTTGTACATTTCCATTCTTACCAAATGTTTTAAAATGGTCCAATAGAGCTGGCATTTAACATATAACAGAATATGCTGCCATTAATCATAGGGAGGCAGAGACCTCCCACTCTTGGAGATCCTTGTACGGGGGTGGCCAACAGTTTTTGCCCTCGGGCCAAATTGGAAAGAGAACTTTTTTCACGGGCCTAACCAGAGGCTGCCCTAGGAAGATTTTGAGGTGGTGCGAGATCTCATTATGGTGTCACCCCGTAGAGACTAAATTGTAGATAGAGATTACAGATACATTTTTCACATTATCATGCTTTATCAACATTCTATGCTGTACTTAAGAGACTTGTAATGGAGGGTTAACTCTAAATGCACAGTGAGTTATTGATTTTTTTTAGGCGTCAGAATTTTTCATCAAGCTACTCGGACTTGAATAGCTAATATTGAAAGATTAATTGCAGGCCGCATAAATTCATTGGACATACAAGGACAGGCAGGCCGTATGTTGGCTGGCATGGCCAACATACGGCCTGTCCTTGTATGAAGTACTCTTTTGATTCAACAATCTCAACTTACAATCTTCTAGAGGGGAGAACATCATTTGTCATGTGTATATTCTGTCCAATAGAGTTCATCCATATTCATTTTTTAAAAAATTGTTCTATTTTTTACATTCTATTTTATCAATCTAAAAATGATTTAAAATTGTTGAAAACATTGGTTTCTGGCATTAAATGTTATTTTTGCTGTATTTTCTGGTTTTTGTGTGTGTTTATTCAATATATTATTTTTTTTTTCTAAATTACTCTTGTACAAATAAAAATATAAAAGTTTTGTTCATTGTTCACTTATTTATTTTTTCATCTGTAAACAACTAAGAAATAAGAAAATATGTCTACATTTGATAGGTATTCATGAGAGATATTGAATCAAATGTATATTTTCTAAATTGCATATGTTTACAGAAATTATAACAAAATATATGGCAACAGAAAAAAATGAGAATAGGCATGAAAGTTGAGAAAAGCTGGTCATGGCCAAAAAACATTGGGAATGGCTGTAACAGAGTATTAATCTCTGAGAATGGAGTTAAGTCCAAAATTGCTTGAATTTTTTTTTGGTGGTGTTAAATATTGTACTCCAAGAAAAGTTGTTTCTGATTTTGTTTATTAAAGACTTTTGGAGTGTCAATGAATTTGAATAAAAATAATTACACCTAATGGTTTTCTAAAATATTACTCTCAAGTTAAATTGATAATTAAGAAATTTGTTAATTATTGCCATAAAAATATGATTAGATCATTATAGTTTAAAATAATAAATGAAATCATAAAATATATAATTGGGAAATAATTATTATATTAATTTCCTGTAATACTAATACTGCATATCTATTATTCATTTTAGTAATTTCAATTTGAAATTCACTTTTTCTTTGCTTACCGCAGGGAGTTATTCGATATTGAGAACTTATGCATCTCCAATTTAAGGTAATGTTTTAAATAAGAAAAAATATGTATATATGACAAATTCTGAGTTGCATGTTTCCTTGCAAGTTTGTTTGTTTGAATTGTAAATGTAAACCCCAGTATATGGAATTTGTTTTAAATATTTATTGATCTGTGATTGTATTTTTAAAACGAAATGCAAATTTTGACGTCATTTTTTTTTCGAATAAAATGTTAATTTATATAAGTAAAACTGTATAATGAAAATAATTCTAATTAAAATTTTAATGTTAAGATTTGTATTGTTTTATTTAATTTCTTATGCATGTATTTTTCTGCAATATTGATGTGTATTTGTGTCAATAAAATTTAAATCTTATGAAAAGTGAAATAATAAAGTGTAATGAAATTAATAAGTCTGAAATTTTTTATCATTAATCTTAAGAAAAGTATTCTTTTGATTTAAAAAAAATCTTTAATTTCAACAAACCACAAACTTGTGATTATGTAGAAAGAATTTTATTTTTTTAAATGTATATATATATAAATGTACATTGTTAAATGTACATTGTAATATGTAATTTTAAAATATATCAAATTATCGATAATTCTTCAAGAGTTATTGAATTCATTACATATAGTATAAAAATTGGCAAAGGTTCTTGCTCTTGCTTTTCTGGCACTTGACCAGCAGGAGGGTTAAGAAGGCCAGGAAGGAAGTTTGATAATTTTCAATTTTACTATGATATAAAATTTAAAATAATAACAAAAGCTTAAGAGGAGTAAGATTTTTGAATAATGAGAAATTTCTGTACTTTTTAAAATTAAATATTCTTTTAATCACTAAGACACATTAGCACAAAGTTGAAATTGTGTTTAGCATTGTCTGTTATGAGATTTTATTTAAAAATAATTTTTATATTATAAAAAGGCAAAATGCTTAATTTTTAGGGTAAGATTCATTTTTAAAAATATTGTGAATGACAATAACAAGTAAAAATTTTCATTGTTTGAACCCACCCTCAAAATAAGATACATGACCATTTTTCTCCTTTACCATTTTGATCTTTAACTGCCAACATTGATAGCATCAGTGCTCCAAATATAGTAATAAAATATTCTTATAAATATTTAACTGTATTGAAAAAAAATGTAGTCCATGTTACAACATAAAAAGGCATAATATTGTCTGCATAAAATTCATCTATTAGCATTGTGATTGTGTTATATGCCTTCTAATAATTGAAAATTTAATTACAGTGCACAGATATTTGCTGATTTGCATATGATTTAATGAAGTAAATTATAAATAAAATAAAAAAATAAGCAATTTATGTTCTACATAATAGTATATTTATTAAATCTTGGTAATTGTCAAAATTACTAGGTTAGAATTGAACTGATAAGATAGTTAATTTTTATATAAATCACTCACATTTTTAAATTGGCTCATTCTAACTTTAATGAGCAGAAGTAATGCTTTCAGCCATTTTTAATGGCCATCTGTAAGCTGTTCTACAAATTTAAACCTTATAACACCACAAATACCTTTAAAATTCAAATGGATTTTAAAAGATATTTATGGTGTTAGTGATTAGATATCCAGTTTTAAGAAGCTACAATAAATTTAAACTTTTTTAAAAATATAACAGAACATTATACAGAACATGAAAATCCTAATAGCCTAATTTGAATCTTGAAAGTTTGCAATGATTGGTTATAACTTAAAACTGTATGTTATACAGATTTAAGGAAAACTCAATTTACAGAATTTTATAACATTACAATTTTATTCAAATTACTCAACATAATTCTTAACATAAAATGCAGACTACAGGAAAGTGTACTTGTTCTATTTCATGGGAATTCTCAACAATTTGAGAATATGGACCATAGATAGGTATATTCCCATCTGTTGATAATAGTTTAATTTATAATATTCCAAACATTTTAATTTATTTACATCTGGAAAAATAATGACCTGACTTATATTGTGTGATAAGTGATGTGAACATTTAGTGTGTTCTTTCAAATACATATATAAAATACAACCATATCTTATTAGAGATCTGTTTTATATAAGAGAGGGTTTAGCATTATAACTCTTCTAATAATATAGTGGAACCTCTATATTCATCATTAATCTGTTCCTAAGGACTTAACAAATATGGAATATGACAATTATAGAAACAATTTTTCTCATAATAAATAACTGATATTCAATTAATACATTCCCTTCCTGAAAAAAAGGTACAAGAATAAAGTTTTACAAATAACATAATTTTTATTTTTATTGTACTAAATACAGTACAGTGGTAGAAGGGGAAGAATAAGTGTTATTGTTTAGAATAATGTGTCTTTTTCTAAACAATAACACTACATCAATTAAAACATTAGGCAATTCCAATTATGATCATGGGGTCTGTTTTGCCTATGACTTAGTAGCACTCAATTTAATAAAGAACTTGTCCAGTGTTGTGTGTTTTTGTGTGCTTTTTAAAACTTTTCTGAAGTAGGCAATTACATTATCATTGAATGTATTTGTATTTTGGTTGACTACAGCAACATTTGAAGCAATAGGAACTTGGTTTTTTGCTTTGGTTATTTTTCAATAACTCAACAACACACACGACAACAGCACAAAGCAGACTGATTAACTACAGCTAGCTAACACGGCTAGCTGATCGGCGTGGGTGTGCAATTATAGTGTCATGTCTGGTGTTGGGAATGATCTATATGTATGGAAAAATAAAAAAGTCATCAAAATGTGACAAATATCAAATATTATGAATATAGAGGTTCCACTGTACTTGATTAAACATAAATTAAATAAAACAAATCCATACATTATTCTTACTTTGTGTATCTATTTTAAAATGTTTGTTAAGAGCATTTGACTTAAAGATAAAGCTGAGTTTTTAAGACAAAAACAGAATGCTTTAAATATATAATAAATTTAGTTGTTATTTTATTTAAATTTGAAAATCAATCAGTTTTTAAAGCCCTTTCTTTATATAACTAGATTTAAAAACTGAATATTTTTAATATAAATGACTTGAAACAATGATGTCACAAATGGAAGGAATGACTAATATTGCCAGATTTTGGAAATAGTGAAAGAGCTAGCTCAGTAAAATTTCTTGCTTTGAATAAAATGTCAATATAAAAATTTATTTAATTTATATTTTGCATGAATTGTAACTTTCCAGATTATCCATGGGTTATATGTTTAAAAGTAATTTGAAAGGTGATATGGAGAGGGTTATGTGACAATTTTAAATTACAATTATAAACTCATCAGTTTTCCTTTTGTCTGAAGTCACTAATGAGTGTGTCTTTAAAAAATTGAATAATCACTTGTACGTTTCAGATACATTTTTCTGCTATTGCAATTTTTCCTGAAACCAAAAAAGCATACACATGAATGTTGCCTTTACAATATTTTATATTTGCTCCAAACTTTAATTGATATTATTAGACATTCCTATTTGAATTTTTATCTTAAAAGCTGATAAATTTTCAGTAATTATTTTATATTGATGTTACATTTCACAGAACTTTTACAGTTAAGACATATGATATAATTATCATTCTAATAAGCTATAAGCTTGTGCTTTTCATTTCTATAAAGTAAATTTTCATGATTAAAAATAATTAGATGCATTTAAAATGATAGCCCTAACTCAGTGTTAGCAAATCTGTGAACTTCGTCATAATTCAATTTCAAGGTACCGACGTGGAATGTTTAGAATGTATTAGATTTATAAATTATACAAAATTTTGAAATCAATATTTTTTTATATGTAGTATGAAGTTGCTGTTGTACAATTGTCATAGTCTTAAAGGCCATTACCAGTAATTTAACATACAGTAGACCCTCCTATAACACGGTAGATACGTTCCGTGTTATATGAATTCCATGTTGTACGAGTCACTTAAATACATGAGCCAATCACAGCCCAGCACGTATGCAGTTTAGGGACTACGGCTGTTTGAAAGGTTTTCTTCCATAAAATTAATCAATTCTAGATTAATAAAAAATTATATGTGATTTTTGAGTATCACATATAATTTTTTTGGAAATAATCCATATATAATGTGCTATAAACAAAAAATTATAGGATTACTTACCGAGTGTGCACTGTTTGAAGACGCCATTGCTTAAGCTTGTTTTCGTCGTGTAGCAGCTCATCAAATGGCGGGTGCATGTTTCCTGTTAAGTTATTTTTCTGTGAAAAATTCGCTGAACTTTGGGAGACATCATTAATATAAATATAATTTTTATGGCCGTTAAATAATAAATGGTTTTTAGTAGGTCCGCTGCTCGTTTTAAACTCAATGGTTTATGCAATGTCCGCTATTGGTCTAGATTCGACCAATCCTGTCACGACACGCATCGGAGATGACGTTTTACCGTGTTATATGAGTCTCCTTTAGCTTGTTATATGAACATGTTTGCAATTTTTTGCCGTGTTATACGAATCCATTTTATATGAACTTGTGTTATAGGGGAGGTCTACTGTACATAATAAGTCCAGTCAAAGAATAATTAGTTTGATGATTATTTCTTGTTGATTAATTTTTCCTCATTAAAGCTAGAAAACCTAAGTGATTACAAAGAGTAGAAACTACAAGTAAGGAACTGATGTACTAGAGAGAGAGGTTGTGATCAACATTTTCAACGCAAAAACGTGTATGTCAGACATTCAGCGCCTCCTTCCTGTAAGCCTAGAAGTTTGACAATGGCATTTTGGAATGTCAGTGGAATCATGCTCGACGTCCTAAATGCCATTGCCAAACTTCTAGGCTTACAGGATGGCAGTGCCAAATGTCCAACGTACACGTTTTCGCGTTAAAAACGTTGGCCACAACCTCTACTGACTGACAACTAAGCTTACTTGTTTGATTCTATACTTAGGTACATTTTTAAATTAATAATTTTTATTTAAATTGCATTTCATTCCATTATTTTGCTTTGTATGCTGAATGTTTGAATAAAAACAAAAATGTTTGTAGACATTTTAGAACATTTAAATTGAAAATTTTTATGTATAATTTTGTGAATTAGAAGTGTGCTGAAAAGTTTGATTTAAAGTTAAAAGTAATTCTTATATGATTTTATGAAGTTTAGCTTTTTAATTTGTTTTGAATTTATGCAGAAGTTTATCTAAAAATAAGTTATGTTCTTGTCTGAATTAAATATTGCAATTTTAAAACCTTACTTTTGATACAAATGCTTTATTGCAATAATAATTATATATATAGATATAAAAACTATTTTTTTTTAAATTCTTAGTAATATATTTCAAATTAATACAAAGATGTATTAATAAATTAATATATTTTTACTTTACATTAACAAATACATAATAATTTAGTGTTTTAATTGTCAGTTGTAATTTCTATACAGATTTTTAAGTATTTTCAATCAAGTTATTCATGTAAAGCAAAAAATAACTTAATATAACTTTAGTGCTTAAATCAATTAATAAAAATAAGTCTAATTTATTACTTTATTGAATATTTGGAAATAACATTTTCTGGTGAATTATTTTGAAATAACCAATTTTTAATTATTTTCATAATAAATTTTCAAAAAATAACAAAGTTAAAATTGCAAAAGAACAAAATATTTTTAAAATCTCACTAGGCAAGAACAGATTTTCTACACAGTAGTTAATACTGTATACAAAATCTGGATGAAAAAGTATATTGTTACACAGTAATAAGTTATATTCCTATGAGCCAATGTTATTACAAGGCCTTTTAGTATTTTTTATACTAAAAAAAACAATAAAACCTTTTAATAATAAACAAGTTTTTTAAAGCTTTTAAACATTCACTAAATTATTAGATTCATATTATCTTTCTGCTATATAATTTTTGAGGTTCCATGAAACACAGACCCTAGGCACATACCTAGTGCACCTAATGGGTAATCTGCCACTGCAGTTACATGTAAAAACAAAACTCCTATTCTTCAATAACATTCTGAATGTTACAGGAATGTATTATACTTATACAAGTTAATAATTATTATAAGACAGGATAATTCTACTAATTTATGATGAATTTAAAATTTCGATATTACATTTGTAGTCATGATTTTTTTTTAATATCAACTTTTGTAATTATTATTCATTTATTATTTTTATTAATACACATTTATTGGCTTTTAGTGAAAGCATAATCTTCCTAACAAACTATCACTGATGAATGTTCTATGATGGGTGAGCAAGTTTAAGGATGCATGCCTAATTGCAAAATTTGATGCAAAGTTTTCTTGTGTTAACTGAAATTTTTGTAAACATATTATTTGGTGTAGTGGTTAGATAATGCTACAGGAAAACTAGATTTGGTGGATTTTCACTGAACGCAAGCACCACTGCCAAATTGGCAACGGTGTTTGTAATTTAAGTCAGTATATATGAGATGTCTTGGAAATAGGATGTTTGTTTCATTAGCTTATTACTTACTAGTAGCCTGGGACGCCCCCTAGTGGGCGTTCTTTACAAATTTACATGAGGCACGGTTCCTTTGACTTTTTTGTTCCTATCAATATGCTCTACAGTTTTGTTCAAATCCGAATGGTAAGATTTACCCTCCGAATGAAGAGGTGGCGAACCCCCAAACCGTACACCCCTGTATTAACAATAAAGTCATAGGAGCCATAGCCCTACTCGCGACCCTTCGAGAGATATAAGCCCCTAAAATAATAAATTCCTATTACAAATATACTGAATTATTTATATTGTTATATTGACCAAATAATAATTTATTGGCCACATGAATAATAAACATTTATATTGTTAATTTAAATAAGAATTAAAATTGTTAATTTGAATGTTGAAATATGACACACGATAGGGGCGCCTCTAGTGTCCGTTTTCAAACGGTTACGGGACAGACGGACAGTTGAATGGGCTATATATATAGATTATTACTAAAATGTGTGTGTTTATTGCAATTTTGTTTAGTATTGCTCATTTCGCTGAACTTGTATTCTATTAAGTTAAAATATACAACTCTGTGAAGATGTTGGATATTTAATTTTTAAGGTGAGCTCTGGGTTGTGTGCTGGAAAAATGTCATTGACATGTCACATTTGTTCCACTCCTCTTAGCCTATTCTATGTAAGAAATGGAAAAATTTAAAACATTTTAAAGTCAATAATATATCCAGTGATATGGCACTGTGACAACAGTTATCACTCAGCTCCTATTCACTTAAGAGAATTAATACTTGACAAAATTGACAGCTTTCAAATAATAATTTATAAATAGTTCTGTAGAGTGTCATTATACAGAAAGTGAAAATTACTGGAAATTTATCATTTTTAAAGGCACAGCATTAATCTACTATATTTCAGCTAAAAAAGAATATGTCAGTTTAAAATTTATTCAGTCCAATAGAAAAAAAACTCAGCAACAAGTTGCTTAACTTTCTTGGCAGCATTTGATGGAACCATCTGTTACGATATTTTATTAAAAAACGTTTTATATTTTTAATTATTATAAAATGGCAAAAAGCTTAATTTTGAGAAAGAAAAGAATGAGTTTTATAAAAAAATTGTAAATGCTAATGAGTAAAATCATCATTAAGTCCGACGCTACTGGAGATATGATACAGTCCCTTTATTCACCAAAATTTAATGATATCAATCCCCCTAATAAACAAACCTCCCTGTAAAATTTCAGAAATTTTTCATAAAAACCACAGTAGTTATTAAGCTTCAAAGAGGGTGAACAAAATCATGTCCCACATGTGCGCACACTAATATCCGTATATACAGAAAAACTCCCAAATTGTTTTTGCATTTCTTGATGTTTCAAGATTTCCTGAGTCCAAAACTAAAATTCTGGGGGGGGTCATTTTTGACCAATTGACATACTTTTCCTCTGTTATATATAACAGAATCAGGAAAGTAAAAATAGGAGCATCTGATCATATCAATTGACGTGTAGATTGATGATATATAGTAAATGACTAAAGGTGCAGTGTATGTCTACATGTGATATGGTATATACTTTGTGACTTTATATATATGTGTACCTTTTGATAGTTTCAGAAAAAATTGATTGCAGGTGCCTGTAATATGCAAAGAATGTTTTGTTTTGAAAAGATATTCTTGTGATTTTTATTTTTTGGAACAAAGGAAAAACTGTAAGTACTTAATAAATTAGAAGGTTACAAAATTGCAATTTAGTTATTACTTTCATAATCCATACCTGTTCATGGGGATTTCAAATTTTATTAGTGATCCTAAAGTTATCTACATGTAATGTGGTATAGAAATGTATTCAAATATTATTCTATGTATTTGAATATATTTTTTTTAAAGATTTTCAACATCTTAATTTGAATAAACATGTTGGACATTGTGATATCGATTATTTCATCTATTTATATTTTCATTCAAATAAATTTTTTTATTATTTTTATTTATCACTAGTTGCCAGGAAAAATGAGCAGTTCAGAATGCAATGCAGTAGTTAGAATATAGATTTTCTTCTCAATAAAAATAATAAAACACATTTGTCAAATACAAGCAGATTGTATTTGACATGAATCATGATATTGAATGATAATCTTTACAAGGAGATTGATGATGATGATGATCTTTGTTAAAAAATTGTGTTGTTTTATAGATAATTTCAGTAATAATTTTTAAAAATTTCAAATAAAACTTCAACTGTAAATTCAAACTTTCATTAATCCAAATGATTTTGGATTTATTGATAGTTTGCTGTACTTTAAAATAACTTATGATTGTAAAATAATTTTGGGAATAATTTTTTACAGTAATGAAGTCAATTATTCAGAAGCTCATTGCATGATTGGAATGACAAAATATGTCTCAAGTGTATGTGCACTACCTCCAAGTGATCAATATCCTTTTGGACTTATTCTGGCTGGTTGTAACGATTGTGCCATTTATGGATTTAGTATAGATTCTCCACAGCCAGTGTACAAATTATTGGGCCATGCCGGAACAGGTATGCATGTTATTTAATTAAAGTGTTTATGAAATTTTAATTATAAAATTTTTAAAATGCATATTATATATAGCTGTAAATGTATTTCTGTAAGTATATTTCAGCATATACATTCATATTTTTCAAGATTAAATATTCAATATAAATATTTGCAGGCTATTATATTTAACTATAAAATTTGAAATTTCAATTATCAAAATTTAACAAGTATACTGTTAATATTTAAATAAAATGTAAATACAGTAAAATCTGTCTAAAACAGAACCTGAATAAAATGGAAACCTGCCTAGATGGAAGTCTAGATCAGAGTGATTCTCTACATTAAATTTTAATGTAAACTGGAAACATGTTTAATATGGAAGCATAAAAAGTTTTTGGGGTATGAAGAATATAATTTAATCTGACTAAAGTATTTTATTTTTTATTTTTATTGATACATATGAAAAGCCATGTAAGGACTGCAGTTTTCTGTCTCCCAGATAACAAGCAATCTTGAAACGAAAATAAAAAAAACTATAAGTAAAACAACATATATCATAAAAACATGATTTAAAAAAAGCTAAGCATGATATAAATTTTGTTAACAAATATTTTTAAACTGAAAGAATGTAAAAAATGATAAAAATTAAACATACTTTGCAAAATATGATAAAAATGCTGTGAGATCTCTAATCTATAAAATGGCATGTAAATATATAAAGAATATTGTAAATTTCTTTCAGGTATTAAGTGGAGCCAACTGTACTGTATAAAACTATTAAAATATTTGAAGTATACAAGCTGGTCAAAGTATTTAATTCTCTCTTTAAAAGCAGGAAGGCCCAGTCTAGACCTGGCAACATTTGGAGATTAAGTGTAGGGAAGGGGAGGTTACAAATCTGTTTAAAAGCAGATATATTTTATCAAATTATTTTGGAAATTTTGTTTAAAAAGGTGGAGACCATTATGGCCCAAATCAGCAAACCATGGTTGACAACAGATTTGGAAGTTTGTAAATAAAATAGAGCGAAATAACATTTTTTTTTTTTTGAAGAAATGAGTTTACAGAGATGCCAAAGTATAACTAGATGTATGGCAAGAGATTTTATTTTATCATTTTTGTGACTTTTAAATATGAGTGTGTGATCTCAAATTATGCCAAAGTAGAAAATTAAAGTTCCACTTGTGGACAAAAATAAGTTAAATTGCCTGTCATCATAGAGCATGACAAATTGTGTTATAGGAACAAATATGATTCTTACATGAAATGAAGATTGTGACAAGGGAACATACAGATACAGGATCTCTGTTAATATTAATCTTTGATGGAATTAACCAGAGGCAAAATTGAGTACTTTTAAGAATTGAATGAATTTCTGGAAAGAGTTCTTGAGACTAGACAGTGAATGTAATTTGTTGCAAACAATGAGAATAAGGTAACACAGTACTGCCAGTTTGCCTTGTATGGACTACAGTGTAGTTAGTAATTAACAGACACTGAATGTTTCAGAACAAATCAATTAACATTGTTAGTAATTACAGAAATTGAAGTGAATATTTATTAAGAATATTAAAATTCTTTAAAGTCAGATCACAGAATAACTTTGTATTACTGTAATGCAATTAAATTTCTATTGAGCAAGACACTAATTCTTGTGATTTGAATTGGCTTGTCTGTGTCATACAAGCTCTTGAGGATTACATCTAAAGACTTTGTTCTCAACTCTTGCATTTCATTATGCTCATTTTTAGTTGGAATAACTTTGGATTAAACCTAGTAAAGCAAGGTCAAACCCAATAATTACTTCAAATAGCAAATGAACATGGCTGTTCATTTGATATTTGAAGTAATTATTGTGTGAGTCAGCCCAGAATGGGATTTGAACTGCATGGTAAGGAGTTCAAATCCTGTTCTGGGCAGATTCTCTTCCAGACTATTCTAAAATTATTTAAATTATTATAATTATTAATTTTGATAAGAGATGGCACCTGATGCATACCTCTAGTAATAAATTACTTAAAATTTAATTATTAATAGTAGCTGAAAAACAGACTGATGCATTACAGCAATAATTTGGCATATATTATTTTGACTTTGTATATTGTTTTTTTATATGTAAGTAGCAGATGAGCTTGGCATTGCTCGGGAAAAAAGTATTGATAGCGAAGATTAAGATTATTAGATTATAGCCGATCTTACCCATTTTATCAAGTGCAAGAATGTCCCTTCTCTTCTGAGACTAATTAGAAAATTTTTAGATATCTGCTTACCACATCAGGATGATGATAATTAAGACTCACTGCAACCACTAACCAGTGCGTAGTACCACTAAGTGATGAATAAACGTTTTTGTAACTCTTTCTGGATTCTTCTTCAGGTTTAGTAAATTTAAAAATAAGTTGGATCTTNTTTTTAAATTAATATAAACTTGAATTTTTAGAATTAATTTTAATTCAAATGTTTTTTCAATATGAATGTAATACAGTGGTGCCTCCGTATAGTGTACGCCTCGAATAACGGATGCTGCGAACAACGGACTTTCTGTTTGGCCGTTACGTGACTTGAGCAACAGACTGGCTACGAACAACGGACTTTCCATTCAGCAGTTACGTGAAGCAAACAACGGACTTTCTGCGAACAAGTGCGAATGATGTTTTCACTCTTTTGTTGTTGCCAATGACAATCTGCTATTTTTATAATATATTAGTATTATTAGAATATATTATTAGTACATCTGAAGTACAGAGCTCCTGTTGGGATTCGGCTTGCTCCCTTGTTTATTACGTACATTACTTCAGTGCAGAGTATTTACATTTATTCAAGTGTTGTGCAAATCATGGCTTCTAAAAAACAAAGGTGATTTTAATAAAGCAGGAAATCATCAGGAGGAGTGAAAGTTGACACTGACTTCTTTGTCAAATGGGGAGAGGTTCAAGAGTTTATGAACACTCACTATCCAAACACAGCTGAGGCCAACAGGATCAATGATCTCTACAATGACACCCTTGCCTATCATTTCTGACAGGTGTTGAAGAAGAGAGAGAAACAAATCACCTTGGACATGTTTTTCAAGAAGCCAGCTGCCAAAAAACAAAAGATGGAACAAGAGGAGTTGACCATGCAAGCTCTGGTAGCCTTTCCTGAATCTGACTCCGATTAAAAACCAATAAAAAGAGACCTGCTGCAATGTGTGTCTGTATGAATGTGTGAAGAAAGTGTTCCTCCACTTCCTCCTCACAACATCTAACTATCCAGCATAATTGATGACTACTCCATTTTCATTTTTTTTATGATACAGTACGGTTTATGCTGCGGAATGAATTATGTTTTAACATGTATTTCTATGGGGAAAATGCGTTTCGTATAACGGACTTTTTACTTAACGGACATGCACCTGGAATGGATTAAGTACATTATACGAGGCACCGCTGTATAAGCGTAAAACTCAAATATTAAATAATAAATGCTTAAAAAATGTTAAAGATTGTATTTTTATTTTAGTGTGTTCATTATCAGCTGGAAATTATGGAACTGTTTTGAGTGGTTCTTGGGATAAGACAGCTAAAATTTGGCTAGGGCAACAATGTACAGTAACATTAGAGGGTCATCAAGCTGCAGTATGGGCAGTTCAGATATTACCTGAACAAGGACTTATGTTAACAGCTTCAGCAGATAAAACAATTAGAATGTGGCGTTCAGGAAAATGTGAAAAGATTTTTACAGGTGAGAAATATTTTCTGTTCATCAAATTTATGATATAATTATATTATGATGATGATTCAGATGTTTATAATGTTTATATCCCTTTATGTAATTCAGAATGCAAACAAATTATTTGTTAGTAAAAAATTTCCTATTTTTGCATAAATATAAAGAGATCATTGAGCAATAAATTTTAAATAAAAAGATACAGTCATTTTTTAAAACTTAATCCATTATTATGTATACTATCAGACAAATCTTTAGACATTGATTTAATATCAAAATCTGCTCAGAATTTGTAATAGTTTCTTTCTGGAGATTATTTTTACATATTTTGACTTAAATGTAATATTTTTGAGAAATGAAATAAATATAAGCATAATAAAATTCAAGTCAAAATCAGTTAAATTTTAGATTTTTTTTTTTTGTACATGATTTTCAATAATTTTTTAGTATTTTTTGTAGTACTTGTGGCTGAGCATTAGGATGTACAGTAGACCCCCTATAATGCGGAGATACGTTCCTCGTTATACGAATTTCGCGTTGTAGGAATCTTTAAATATGTGAGCCAATCACAGCCCGACACGTGTGAAGTTTACGGACTACAGCTGTTTGAAAGGTTTTCTTCCATAAAATTAATCGATTCTAGACTAATTTGACTTAACATTTCCAAAACATGTATAATTTTTTGGGCATAATCCATATAAACTATGCTATAAACCAAAAATTGTAGGATTACTTACCGAGTGTGCACCGTTCTATGTCGCCATTGTTTAAGCCTGTTTTTGTCGCGGACCAGCGCACCAAACCGTGGCCGCGATTTCTGATGTTATTTTTCTGCGAAAGCTTTGTTGAACTTTGGAGACATCATTAATATAAATAATTTTAATGGCCGTTGAATAAGAAATGTTTCTTTCACAAGAAATGTATAAAATTACTGTACTGTATTAGACTTACGATACCTAATTTACATACTGTACAGACGATAGTAAACAACTTACTCGCCTAAACTCTCCGTAGCGTGGCGCTGGATGGCAGAAAGTAGATCGGCTGCTCGTCTGTGACGATGAGTTAGCGATGACATTTTACCGCGTTTTATGCGTCCCTTTTAGTGTCTTTATACGAATATTGTCGCAATTTTTTGCCACATTATAGGAATCTACATTATAGGAACTTGCATTATAGGAGGGTCTACTGTATTGACTAATGCTGGCTGCTTATTGCATAATTTTCATGAATGTTTTTGTAAGAATTCAATTTTTCAAAAACTTGATATTATCTTAATCATAATTTTAACTAAATTTTAATTCTGTAATACAAAGTTATTGTATTTAATTAACAAATTCTTATGACAATAACACTGTTTTGTAGTTGTGCACAGTAAAGATCTGCATTAATTCGTTTATAAAGTCACAGCAGTAATGGGTTATGCCAGCAGTAGACATAGACCAACAGCAGATAGAAAAACAGCACCATAATCTTCATTAGTATGAACTTAAATTTGTCACATGTTTGTGTTCTGGTTGGGCATCAATCTGATGCCCAATCACCTGATAATTATAAAAACTATATATTATTTATTTATTTTTGCACATATGGTAATAAAAATAATAAAATATTTTGAAAATGTCACATATTTTGAATAAAGCAGTTTTCTTTCAATCTTTAAGAGTATTTTTATATATATTTTAATTATATTTTATTTTAATGGTTTTAACGGAGTAATGTATTTCATTTATAAATAATTTTTAAAACTTTTGCTTTAGGTCATACAGATTGTGTACGTGGATTAGCTGTATTGTCAACAAGGGAATTTTTATCTTGTTCTAGTGATGCAACTATTCGTCATTGGCATATAACAGGAGAATGTTTAAATATATATTATGGTCATACCAATTATATTTATAGTATATGTGTCATGCCTGGAAATGAAGGTTTTGTCACTTGTGGTGAGGATAGAACAGTTAGATTATGGCGAGATGGTGAATGTTATCAAGTTATGAGACTTCCAGCCAATTCTGTTTGGGCTGTTGCATGCCTTCAAAATGGTGACATTGTAGCTGGTGCAAGGTGAGGGAAGATTTTCGTGCTAGTCTTACATTTTATTCTTTTTTATTATAATAGCATTCATCATTATTTATTAAGAAATGCTAATTCTATGTTGATTTGTCTTCTTATTGGATAAATTCTAATTAAATATTATATTTGAAAATTGCATACTAGACAAACAAAGAAACAAATTTGTTTATTTCATATTAGTATTTAAATATATTTTTAAAATTTTTGTGTCAATAAACAATAAATTTTTACTGGAACTAAAACGAAATATAAAATAATATAAATAACACCTTTTTTTAATGGTCCAGCAAAATCATTTAATTCTATAAAAACGTTTTTGACTGATTTTAGCGGTCTTCATCAGTTAATCTAATATTAAAAAGAACAAAGCATTCAAATTTATGCAATACAAAAATAAATAAAATCAAACTGCAATTGTGCAGAACAACGGAAAAATCACTTGTGGGTTATTCAAATTACAAAAATATAAAAAATAAAAATAAAATAAATAATAGTGCCGTCCACGAGGATACATATATTAACTTGTGTTATTATAAAAGGACTTCCAAGCAGTGGCTAATCCCTCATCATCCCTGTGACACAAAGCACATATAACCATGTAATGTATTAATCACAGGGATGCTGAGGGATATATAAGCCATTGATCCCACTGTTTGTATAAGTAGATTACTAGTTTATGTAAAATTATGATATTAGACATTTTCAATGTTGTCTTTGTTTAAATTATTTGTCATCAGTTGCTACATCAGACTGATTCAATTGACCAACTACTTGATTAGTTTTCCAAAAGTTGGGAATTCAAATCAGTTACCAAGTATTATATATAATCCAATATCTAATTTTTAAATCTTATTTGAAATACTAAACATCTTAAACAAATGAAAATAAATTCTCTCTTTAAAGAAGAAATTTATAAAATAATCACAAATCATTATTTTAAATTTTTTATTTATCTTTTTATTTGTTTGAAACTGATTTAATTCCATTCTTCATAGATATAATAGTCAAAAGATGATGATTTAAGAAAAATTAGTGATTTATTTTATTATCTTGGTGCAAATTTTTTAATTTGTCTTTTGGAAATGAGATGACCCCTTGAAAAATATATAATATGCTCACAAATAAAAACGTTTGACTTCTTTAATAAATTGTATTATAATAAAGTCATGCATTGTGTGACAAAGATTTTTGTGAAACAATTTGTAAACAACAATTCAGTTTTGATTTAAATCACAAAATTGCCACATTTTGGTGACATTCTCCAAAGAATATCTACAGGTTTAATTGAGACATTACTATATTTTTTTGTGGCTATTGCTATAATAATTTTTCTGCCACAAATATTTCTGAGACTGCTTTAATTTTTCCTCTAAACTCTCTTCATGTAATTGGACATATTTTGCACCCTGATTTAGAAAGCACATAAATACTTTATTCAAACCAAAAATAATAGATAATAAACGTAAAGAAATATCAGTAATTGAATATTATCAACTGATTATTAGAGCTAATAAATTAATTAGCTGATTAAAGTAGTAAAACTACTATTGATTTATCTGTAGAGTATAATTAATTTTTTAAATTGTGATTTTTTGTAGTGATGGAACAGCAAGAATATTTACACACCATAGTGAACTCCAAGCTAGTCCTGAAGAACAGTTACGATTAGAAGATGAAGTTTCTAAAAGTATACTACCAGCTCAGGAACTAGATTTAAAATTAGACTCAATACTAGAAAAAGATGTTTTGAATGAACCAGGTATTTTTAAATTATTAGTTTTCATGAAACACAAAATACTTTTCAGTATTCTTATTTGATATTTCAATAATTAATGTTTAAATAAATAACCAAGTCATTTTAAATGTAATCTGTTTGTTTTTTAATCACTTATCTAATGAAACTTTAAATTTCTATTAAATTTACTTTCAACGTTGAATTATACGCATGTTTGCAAATTTAAATGAAACATTTTGTAACTAGTTTAATTTTTTGATGTATCATAATTTAATATATATATATATATATATATATATATTATATANCACGAGTATAGTCATCGCTAACTGCTGAGTGGTTAAAAATACAGAATTTACATTAAAATGATTTTTTGGGTACTCTATAATGCAATAGAATCCATCTGTTGTAATCATTTTGGGTTTCTCTTATAGTGATGATAACTGATTGATAACATTAGGCAGGGTAAATAAATAAAATAAAAATTAACAATTTTTGCTTTTATTCATATTTTTTTTGATATTATACATTTTCTTTTAATTAAGTATTTTTAACTTGAAAATTTAATTATAATTAATAATTCATTTAATATTGGTTGATTTTTCTGTTTCATTTTTATTTTTTGAAATATTGTCTTTACAGTAACTAGCATATAATTGAAATGATTAAATTTACCTGTAAAGAATGATAAATTTTGTGAAATAACTACTAAATACAATATTTTAATAGACAGTAAACATTATAAAAATTCTTTTATAAACAATACTTTTGATAGTTGTATCATTTTTATCATTTGTATCATTTTAGTTGAAATTATGAAAAGAAATAGCCTGTGAGTTTGCTACATAAAATTGCCTTTAAATAAACACAGGTTCCTTTGCATTTTGGCAACCTAGAGAAGTGGTTTTTTATTTTTTCACAATTAAATTGTAAAGCTGAACAATAACTAAATCTAGCAGTCAAATTATCAATATTATCAAAAATATTTTTGGCTGAATTCAATACTGTTTGAATTCAATACAATAATTCAATAATTTTGTTTTAAAACAGTTACTCTTAGTTCTGTTAGTGGCTTATCAAAAATTCTGTAGTTTCTTCAGCTGACAACTTAATCTAAAAGAAAGACAATGACATCTTTTGGATGATAATCATTTCTTAAAAGCAAAGAAAGTAATAACTTACTAAACTTGAATTTAAATAGTTACTCAAACCTTATCAAGTAACATGTAACTTGAATTAATTGGGCAGTTGGGATCCTATTGTAAAATTATAGTTTTTGATTATGAACACATACCTGAAATTAGTATCCAGAACATTTTTCTGATAATATCAAATTTTTAATGTCTAACAATTTAAAAATAAAAAGAAAAATGTTTAGTTACTTTTAATATCCACTGTTAAGTTACATGATGAAATTCTAAAATTCTACAAGTAGAACAGCAAAGTCTGTCATCAACTTAAATTACCTTTGAATCTTAGAAATTATTTAGAACTTTCCAAATGATTTTAAGTTTAAATTTTTTTTGATAGTTATGTGTGCCCTAATGTTCTAGAATAATAAAAGTTTAATGTGTAATCTAATAATGGCTTTTAAAATTTATTTTTAGATTTTTTGCTGGATATTAAAGAATTTGCTATTATTTAAATTTTGCATCCAGTTGTATTTATGTTTAACTTGGAATATTTTACATGTAAATTAAATTATTTTTTTATAAATATTTGCATTCTCTTCATAGACATATAAAATAAAATGATTTTCTCAAGGATTAAATATTTCTAATATATGATCGGCATTTATACTTGTTCTATATTTTTTAGTAAACATTCCTGGTTTTCAAATATAACATTGTAAGAAATTTGAATAATTTTAGGAAAGAAAAATGGTCAGGTTGTAATAGTGCGTGAAGGATCAGAAATAACAGCTCATCAATGGAATGCTCCAGAAGGAAAATGGGTTAAAGTAGGAGATGTTGTTGGTGCAAGTGGAAGTGCTAATAAAATTGTATATGAAGGAGAGGTAATTGTTATCAATTAATAAGAAATTTTAAATTTATTTTTTGAAGTATTTTATATAAAATTTTTGGTTGTTTTTGTACACTTTATATTATTTATTGTAATATAATATAATATATATATTTATTATATATTTTAAGGAGAAAATTATCAGAGCTATCCTAATAATTTTGATATTTTAGCTCTGTTACAAATACACTTGAACCTGTCTATCTTGAATCTCATGGGAATGAGAAAAAATAATTGGAGATACAGGTTTTTAAGATATAGAGGTTCTTGCACATTAAATAGTGATATGTTTGATTGGAGGTCTGGTATTTTATTAATACAATAGCAAGTACAGTACATATCTTTGTTAGATATAAATAAATCATTTTTGACATACCTTAACATAAATAGTTTGTCAATAGTTTCTGATGTCTAGCTTTTTTCAACCAATAAGATGCAAGCCAAACTCTTAACCAATCAGAAAAAAACAGCATTAATTGCAACTATGTACTGTATTGCAAGAGATATTTCTCAACTACAGTTTATGCTCAAAATGTAGTCACTGAACTTTGAATTTGTAATTGACACTCCAATCCATAATTTCAGATAGATGTTTTGGGAGAGAATTTTTAAGATAAACATGGAAAATATATTGAATTTTTGCTGAAAATGTAGGGGGAAAATAAATTTTGACATAAACAGTTTTTCAATACAGTGGTACCTCAGGATACGAAATTAATCCGTTCCGAAACTGAGATCGTATCATGAAAATGTCTTAAGGTGAATCATTTTTCCCATATGTTAACATGTAAGACCAAATAACTCGTTCCAATATGAAAAACACACTCAAATTAAAGCTAAGTAGTACATTTAAAAAAAATAACTATAGTAAGGAAAACCCTGAAAAATGCATTTTGTAGTTGTAAATGTATAAATAACCATAATAGAATAATAATTGATAAAAATAATGTAGTTTTATTTGCACTTTACCTTTGAGGATAGATGACAGTGGAGGTGTAAACTGGTGGTGGAAGAGAGGGAGAAGGGAAACGATACTAAAACTTAACTTACATAACATAATGTAACGCATATAATTGAAATGATTAAATTTACCTGTAAAGAATGATAAATTTTGTGAAATAACTACTAAATACAATATTTTAATAGACAGTAAACATTATAAAAATTCTTTTATAAACAATACTTTTGATAGTTGTATCATTTTTATCATTTGTATCATTTTAGTTGAAATTATGAAAAGAAATAGNGTTTGGCTTTGCCTACTTTTTAAAATGTTTCTAAAATGACTTCAGCAAATGTCATTAAACTGAGCAGCAATATGGCCAATGTGAACCTTTTCGGGATGTTTTTTTCAATAAAATCGGTCACTTTCTGATAATACCTTAAGATTTCCTTTATTGAGCGAGATCCTTCCACAATGAAGCAAACACGCAGAATGAGACCGATGAACAGAAGTGAACAAAAAATGGCGCTGCAAACTAATGTAACTTCATATGGTGAGGTTTTGTTCATATCATGGAGCAAAAATATGTTCAAATTTCATGTCATATCCTGAAAATTTTGTATGCTGGGGCGTTCGTATCCTGAGGTACCACTGTGCTGTAGTTTGAGCTAGACATGTTTAATTGTATTTGGCTTTTTTAAATATGATCATGGATTTGTTTGTTGTCAGAAATACATATATAGATAACAGAGAAGCTAATACTGTTGTCACATCTATACTTTACTATAACAACTTATATTGTAAAATAAGATATTACAATTTTCATTTCCAAATAATGATTTGAGTTTTATTTGGATGTTAGTGAGAATAAGCATAGATCAGTTACAGAAATTGGTTATTTCATTATCTAATCTGTACTGATAAAAAATTTTTAATTAAGAAAAATTAAATTTGTTCTTTACAAACTTGCTTTTAATAAGTATTTGTTTTGTTTTTTTAGTTTCTTGTATTGTAACATATTTGTAATATATGTGCTTTCATAATAAATATAATATTAAATATTTATATCCTTCAAAATGGGATAAATTATTTGGAATTATTTAAAAATTGCCTTAATACAGTCTAAAATAAACTGATTGTTCAGATTTGTGTATGTTTCTATGTGGGCCTGACTTTAACGTCCATAATATTAAATTACATGGATTTAGGAGTTTCTTATTCAGTTTTTATTTGCTATCAGAGAACTTCAGATACATTCACTAGTGAAAACAAAAGTGGAATATAAAAATCAATTTATTTTCACATGTCAAATTTAATTGTTACTTTTGTTTCACAAAATGAGAACAGTGAAATATATGAACAACAGCAAATAGTGTTAAAACAAGATGGCCACTAATAACAATATATTTTTTTGTGTTTACTTTACTCATTTATTTCATTAAAATGAAAATGTCAAAACAATTGTAAGAAAACATTTAGAAAGTATATTTTTCATAGCTGCTGTGTTTAAATCTTTATCTCTACAAATCTGCTGTACTAATTAGTGGCAAATGGTTTTTACTAACAGAAAAGTTTAACACGTTAAAATGCAACATGTTACTCACAAAACAAAAACATTAGCCAGAAATAGTGTTACTACTGATGTGACATTTGCTCAACTTTCTGCCAGTGATTCACTCTATATGCCAGTAAAATTATTCTCTATTTAATATATTTGAGTTTATTTCAACATTTATTGTTATATATATATAATTATTATTTTTTGATAAATAAAACAGAAATGAAATAAAAATATTGTCTTGATAGTCAACTAGTGTAAACAAAAGACATGCTTCCTTATATGGAAAAGACCTGACAGATTGTAATGATCACACATCCAATAAATAAAATGCTGTAATTCTGGTTTGTTCATCCAATTACAGTAGAGTGTCGTTTATCTGAAAGTCGGTTATCCGAAAGAATACCAGTCGGCAAATTTAAATTTTCGCTAGTGCTGTGGCACTGCAATCTTTGGCTATATCTTGGGCTACTCCAATATTTTTTATGTTTGTGTGATGTTTTTCTGAGGACTGTGTGCTGAATCGAACGTTTTTGATACTAGATAACTTCTAAAGTATATTTTTTTTTGTTTTTATATTTTTCTATATACTTATTTTGTTTGTAAAAAATAAATAAATAATTTTTAACGATACAATAGCCACGATTATTATTTTAAAAAGTTTACGTTAGGCGACGAAAATTCAACACGAAGCGACACGCAACGGAGAAAAATTTCAATACGGGATAGGTTAATGTATTTTTTCATACATAATCAGTTATCCGAAAAAATAAGTTATCCGAATAACCCCAGTCCCCAATTGATTCGGATAAACGACGCTCTACTGTATTTAGAAAACACCATGTAAAGATTTATTTTACACTGTCTTCTAAAAGTTATTTAATAATAATAATAATAATAATAATATGAATGTTACCATAATTAATGTAAGAAGATTTTGTAAACTTGTAGAGCTTAAAAAATAAAGCAAATAAACTGAAATTCAATGATGTCATCTTTAGTTATGATTTTGTTAGCAAAACTGCAGAAAGTAATGGTATTGTGTGTAAGAAAAATGAAACATTGCACAGTCAAGCTACAGCTATCATTTTAAATGTAGATAGTTATTTTTAGACATCAGAATTCACTTTATAGTGATGTAAAGAACAATGAGTTAATAGTGTATTGGGATGACAATTATCACTCCATGTGCCTTAATTAACTGTGAAAGTTTTCTGAAAGGAAGTCAATTTGTAGATAGGAGATAATTACTGGAAATTCATCTGCTTTCAAGAAATAAATTCAAGTAGAAGTATATAATAATATCAGTTAATGTGTGTCAAAAAAGTGAAGAGAGAAACTAAAAGTGAGGTATATTTATGGTTGTCTTCAGTGGTTTCAGAAAATATGTTGGCAGATGAATGTGTGTATGGTGCACAAAGGATTTTCTATATTTCTAAAGACATTCGTACATTCTGACTTTAGATAAAGGAAAAGCTATTTGATGAGTTTGTAATTGAATTAATTGGCATATAACTCACTTCATCACATACCTACATTCAAATTACCTTTTAAACACAAATAACTTGGAGAGTTAAAACATCACTTAGTAGACTGGAATGGTATAATAAACACTTCAATCAAAAGCCTTAAATTGTATTCCAATAAGATTTTAATTTGAAAAATATGTTTTTGATTAACATTTTTGATCTGCAATTGGAGATCATCTTCGGGTCTGTATATTCTATGATGGAACAATTGAATTGAACTACAATTTAAGACTTTTGATTGAAGTGTTTAATAACCTGGAGGTCATCCACATCAAGATTGCATATGTATATATGGAATATGTAGGTGTGTCTAAAACTTTAGGATAAACACAATTGCTCTGAGAGAAGAGTGGCAGAAGAACACTTGAATCACTTGGTGACAACCTGCCATGGCATTATGGGTGCTCCATCTCAGTTTGAGGTGGACATATTCCACCTCAAATTGAGATACCTGTATTTATACCGACAGATCTTTCTAGGTATTGGTAATCACTTCCATCTATTCTCACTTGTGTTCAACTGCTGTATCTATCTTTTTCACCAAAGATTTATTTTGATTGCTTTGATTTGTAAGATCCTACAAGTTGCTGTGTATTTTCCTGTGTTAGATGTCAAATTATACAGTTCTTGCCATATTTGTCTGCATTCATCTGCAGATCTCTCTAATCATGTACAAGTGTCATCTGTCCTTAAGTTTTGGACATGTATATATTACAAATAACTATATACTTTCCAAAAGGAAAGATCACATGGATTTTGAAAAATGTTAACCTTTCAACAGTGGAGTAGTCAGGTATGATGCTACCCCTTAGTAGTGAATAAACATGCGAAATTTTGAGTATTTTTCCACGTGTTTTTTTCTCATTACTATTTCGAAAAAAGATTTTGTAAACAGTTATGTCTAGTAAACAAAAGTCTTTTTTTATTGTTACATAATTTATTTTTTGTGTGAATTTTTTTTTGCGGTAGTTTTAGGCTAGTTTTCGGCAATACCCACCAAAATGAGTTTGATGCATATATTCGTCCCTCACCACTGTCACACGATCGCCCTTCACGAGTATAGTCATCGCTAACTGCTGAGTGGTTAAAAATACAGAATTTACATTAAAATGATTTTTTGGATGGAATGTTTTCTCATTAAAAAGGGATGAGGAACGAGACTATTTTTTAAGTTTTTTTTTTATAATTAAAGGAGTTAACATCTAAAAACAGATGTTTCTCCTTCCTTTTTATTGATTAATTTTGATATGCTGTTGTCCTAAACTTTTGGAATCGTTAGATATATTTGCTCATAATGAAAATTTAGATTTCTTAAAAAATTCTTATGGAAAAGGTGATCTCTTATTTAAGTAATTTAATCTTTGGTAAGTGAGTTTATATTGCAATTATATAAAATATGTGCTCAGCATAAAACACCTTAAAGAATCATAAATGATCCCAGTAAATAAATATACAGTGGGTGATTGGTTAACGAACATAATCCGTTCCAAGACTTTGTTCGCTATCTGAATTGTTCGTTAACCGATTATGAATTTACCATAGGTTTGTATGGGAATTTGATTAATTCGTTCTGGAGACATCCCAAAATAAAAAATATATACTTTCTTACTACGTTTATTTCTATGTATACACAGATGTGCATTTTTATTAGTTATGGTTTTTTTGTTTGTGGGGGTTAAATAATCTGTCTAATGTCGATTGCTTTTCTCTCTTCTTCGGGATTTTTCAGAAGTAATTAATAGCATTGTAATTGTAGAGATCCCCAAGCCTATTAACCTCAACCTGGTTTGTATGCCATTCTAAGACCGTTGATCTGACATCCCCCATTTCTTCAAAAGATCTTTAATTAATAGCAGATATCGGCATTAATCCTCTTTTTCAGAATAAAACATATCTTGCCGAGTTTCTTGGTGTTCTCTATTCAAGAGTTCTTGACGTGCTTCTGTCGTCAGATCCGTTTCAGGTTCCATTATGAGCTCTTCATTGTTCTTTATTTCTCAGATGTGATTTTTGTTATTCCTTTAGCTGCTTGAGTCTTCTTGATAATACAGTATCTTTCGTAGATAAAATTGAACTGCGGCCTACTGTAGCCTGTTCAAGCCATACTGTCCAGCAACATCAGACATCTTTTGCGCACTCTCTACCTTTGCTATTATACTCTCACCTTTCAAAAATAAAAACCGACACAAAACTTAATGAGTGCCCGCCCGACAGTCTCGCGAATACTACAAAAGAATTGTTTGTCAGAAAAATAAAAGGTTGGAATTACAAGGGAGTATTTCAAAGTTCGAGGGATACTATCTAATCAGTATATTATCAGGTTGAGCGTCGACGTTGAGGTCTCCCGCGCTCCAAAAAGTTACCTGAAAACAAAGGAAAATCAGTCAGTATTTGCTATTTCCGTCGCTTCTTTTTATGTCTGTTCAGTAAAGTGTTTGTTATCCGATTATGTGTTCGTTGTCCGATCATAAAAATCTTTCGCAAAAGTGTTTGTTACCGATTTGTTCGTTAACCGATCACCCACTGTAGATGGAAGAACTATTGTTTTCATCCTTTCTACAGATCATCTTCAGGTCAAAGGTTTTTGAATTGGAACGCTCTTCAAATATGTTACATTTTTTTGAATATGTTTATAAATTTAAATTTTGTGTGATCAAAAATGTTAGTCCTATTGTCCATGATTATTTATTGGAGTTATTTATGATTCTTTAAGGTGTCTTGTGCTGTGTACTTATATTCACAACATTCTCTATATTAGAGGGTATGCTGTTATTAATTTTAAGTAAATGCTATTATATTATATCAGAGTTCAGTGGATGGCTGAACTGGAGAAAGATGAGTGGGGTGCTCTGAGATAAGAAAATAAGCTGCAAAATGAAAGGAAGATTATACAAAACTGTGGTAAAACCTGCAATGATGTACAGTGCTGAAATGTAGACAAGTATAAGAGTCTAGGAAAAGAAGATGGAGATAATGGAGATGAAAAGACTGAGATGGATGTGTGGTGTGGTGAAGGAGGACAGAATTAGGAATGATTACATAAGGATTACATCAGGATGGGTCCTATAAGTAAGAAGATGCAAGAAATAGATTAAAATGTTTTGGACATATGGAGAAAAGTGAAGACCATGTTGGAAAGGAGATTGGAAGTAATAGGGAGGAGGAAGTGTGGAAGACCAAAGCTGAGGTGGAGAGACAAGATGGCAGAGGATTTGGGAGAGAGGATGCCCTGGATTGAGAGAAGTGGAGAAAACAGTTAAAGATGGGATTGCTGACCCCATATAAACATGAGAAAAAGTTAAGACAGAGAAGAAACTATTATATTATGTCAAAATCCTAAAAGTAGCTTATTGTAAAATTTGTATTCTTCCACATTATACTATATTTAAATCAGTGTTTCTCAACCTCTAACGAATCGTTGTCTCCTTCAATAAAACCATTACGTAGTATCGCCCCCTTCACTTCGAAAACAATTTTGTTGAGTTTTAGTTTAGTTTTTTTACAAAGTATATAATTATCAAATAAACATTTATTTACTCAGAATACATATTAGATTTTGATTAGAATTAACAAAATTAAAATTAAGCATTATTTGCTGTAAATCCTCGCTGCAAGCTTCAAAATTTCGATGCCAAGGGCCAAGACTAACGCCAAATTCATATTGCATTGAATAGACTAGTCACTAGTATAATGTTGTTTGTTTAATTATTGTGCAATATAACAAATAAAATATGTAATTATTCTTCAATATAATGTTTTTACTATATCGTCCAGAAAATTGTTTTTTGCTCCCCAAAATATAAATTGTTACTAATCGTCTCCAATATGGAAAAAATACTTATATGGGGGCAATATTGCCCCGTTGAGAAACATTGATTTAAATAAAAGTTTATTTACCTTATCGCTTTGTTTTTTGCTCTTATGACCTCTGTCAGTTTTTGGAAAGTAAATTACATTGAGAGAAATGAATATATTCTGAGGATAATTTTATATCAAATACAAGAATTTGAATGCAATGAATATTACTCTCAAAATTTGGATCTGTTTAATTATATGTATTTTTCTCTATTAATATAATAAAATGTCATATTTTATTTATTTATTTATTTTTACAGGAATATGATTATGTTTTTGATGTGGAACTAGAACAAGGAAAATCTTTAAAACTGCCATACAATGTGACTGATGATCCATGGCAAACTGCCCAGCAGTTTATTCATAAGCATGATCTTAGTCAGTTGTTCCTTGATCAGACAGCTAATTTTATTATTAACAATACTAGAGGAATTACATTAGGTCAAATGACACCTATAGACTCTGATCCATTTACAGGTAAATATTTATTTTTGTGGCATTTTATGCAAACTTGTTTAGAAATCCCATACAATTTTTTAAATAAAATTTGTAATATAGTAAATGATTTTTATTAATATATTAGTAACAGTATTGTACATTTTAACTGTAATCAGTCAGATTAAATAAATTTTATTAAATTTCTTCTTTTTACAAGATTTAAACCACCAAAACTCTTGTAACGAAATCAGAATTTAATTGTATATTTGATAAATATTTTCATAATTTAGTTATTCCATCTTCAGATCACTGTTACAAACTTTTTAAATGTAAAATGAAGCATTTTTGCAGATTTGAATTCCATAAACAATTGAATATAACCTTAATTTTATTAAATAATTTTTTTAAACCTTATTAAATAAAAATAGGAATTTGAAAATGTTCTCAAATCTGTTCAAAGTAACATAAAGTATTCCAAGACATGAAAAAAATCATTAACAGATCAAAAAATAGAAAATATTCTAAAAAGTTGTCATCTTTGAGTGTAAATGAAATTTCTTGAGGTAAAATGATGATTCTTTAGGGTGACATTTTTACTCTGTATGATAGTGCTTAGCCTTGTTGTGATGTAGCTGAAAAGCTATATTTATAAATTTTTGTAATGAAGAAACTGAATTGAACCTATGATATATGGAGTAATACTTTGCTATTAAACATTCAGATATGGTTAACTGATAAATATGAAATATTTAAAGTAGTTAGTGCAGGATTGTAATTCTTAATCACATTTTTATATCTTTGGATCATTATAATAATTACAGTACTGATTTCAAATCTTTATGTATCTTTTTATTTCATCAGTTTGAAAAAGTTTATAGAAGCATTACAGAATATGAAAATTTATAGCTAGTTCTAAAAAACTTTCATTCTCAAAAGGAGTAGAAACAGAGCTGAATGTCATGTCTAAAATCTGAACCTTGCCAATAAAACTACATATCTTGAATGAAATGGAGAATGATCTGTGATCATGAGAGAGGAGTGCCATGAAAAAATTAATATAATTTCTTGATCATAAGAATTTAAAAATTGATACCTGGTATTGATTATTGTAAAATTCTTTTACAATTTATAGCATAATAATCATGTTAACAGGAAATATATTGGAGTAAAATAAAATTACATTACAGTTTGTTCACTTGAAACTAATAAGGTGATCAATCCTATTTTTTATTTATTTTTAAAGCTGCAAATTTATGTTTTTATTAAGTAGTGAATGTAATTTGTAATAAATGGTGTGATTGACCTATTCAATGATCCATAATTTTAAAAACAAAATTTATAATATACGTTGTTATTACAATGGAACCTTTGTTTATCTGTCTCAAATGGGACCGGGCCCAATCCGGATGACTGAAAATCTGGCAAATTTGTTAACAACAATAAATAACACATTTTAGATGTACATTATATTTTATTTATTGCACATTATATATACTTTTACAACAATATTAACAGTATAAAGCAAAAGACATATCTACATACAGTATCAGTTTGTTGTTTTTATAAGCTGGTACAGTACACATTCATAAGTTTCCTGACTGTTTGTTTGGGGTAGAACCTCTCTTTATGACCTTTTTCAAGGTCAACCAGTAATTGGACTTAGTGCTCTGTAGGGAAACCAAAGGACTAATTTTAACCAAAGTAATTGTGGTATACTGTACTGTATTTATTTTTGTTACCATATCCTTTATTATAAAGACACAATGTTCAAAATTGGCATTGAGCCAAGGGAAAATAGTATTATTACATCTGCAAAATTATACTCAGGCAAGAATATACTACTTAAAAGTTAGTTCTTTGATTTTTTTTGCGTATGTAGGTTTATCGTATGTCTAGCTTTCTTATTTCAGATAAACCAGAGATCTGGATAAATGGAGTTTTACTGTATACCTTATTTTCAAATATAAATGAAAATGTTATTCATTAAAAATGATGAGTATTAATTAAACAAAAATTTACAAGATTAAATAAACATTTTTATTTTATTTATTTATAACTTTTGTAAAAAAATTATTTTCATTTAATTCTTAATTTATTTGATCTTAATAGTAACAATTCCAATTCTGAATTATATTATGTTTTTGTTTTCAAAGATTGTAATGTTTTCAAATTTTTCTGAGACTTTTGATTCTAACTAGATAAAATTTGAATTTCTGTTTAATTTTTTTATGTTACAAGCATGTGATAAAGTATAAACTCAATAAATATTTAAGGCATTTATATTGAAAGATATGTTAATCAAGGAATTAGTGAATTTTGTTTTATTGATTGTTTATTTAACTCTTTCTACCCTGTGGATGCTAAGAGGACCTCTTTTAGTAAGCCCATTATGGGTTCAGCAAGGCCCACAATGTGGCAGCCGGATGGTGAGGGACTGAGCTTGACTTATCCAGATAGACCAGAAAAATTCTTGGGGCTTTTATGATCCGTCTGGATTTAATTCTGGGTTCCCCTGAGTGGTAGGCTGTCCTGGCCATCTTGAAAATGGTGTCTACTAGGTGAAGAATCTATCTAAACAAGATCAGTAAATGGTGATTCAGTTACTTGGAGCAGAAGGAGGTCAATCAATAGTGATTCATAGATAAATGCAAACTGTTTATGGTGTGGTATGTTGAAGATGATGATGGTTGATTGGCTCCATGTTTTGCAACAGATGATAGTGAACAACAGAACACTACATCCCAGACAAGTATTTGTCAGTGGGAAATGTTTAACATATTACCTCATTGGATACACAGACAGTAGAGTATTCATTCACTTGCAGTGGAAATGAGTCTGACATTGGGACTGTACATGCAATCATAAGAGATCTTAGATACAATAATGTTTGCTTTCAGTGGGTTTCATATCAGCTGTTGAACAATTACAGAAACAATAGATGGCTGTAGCATTGGAACATTTTCTGTATTATTATGTAAAGTGTAGTATATTTCTTGTAAAAATTGTGGCAAGAGATGAAACATGGTGGTGTAACTACTGAATTCATAGGAAAAGCTGTAAGAATGCAATGGAAGCACGTGGGTTTGACAGGACCAGAGAAATTCAGGGCAAACCATCTGCTAGGAAAATTATAATCACTGTTATTTGATATCAAAGGACTCTTACTTATAGAATTCAAACTGTAGGATGAAAGCATCAATGCATACAATACTGCATTGCAATAGCTGTGGAAGATAGGCAGGAAACCTGTGATATTATCCTGCTGCATGATAATACTTGACCATACATAGCTCACTTGATTCAGGAAAAAGTGTAAAATATTGATATTTTTTTAGCTTCAATATATTTGACTTCATTTTCCATCATTCACAAACACCAGTGACTGTCCAAAACAATTTTCATTTATGGAGATGACCTTTTATTTCAGGCTGCCCCTCTACCAAAAAAAATGCAAAATGGATAAAAAAAACATCCTCTGTGACTATGCCAATACCATAATTCACAATACAAATGATTAAAATTTAAAATTTGGCCCGTGGTATTTACATTAAAATATAACATAACTGTTTTGTAACTTTAATGCATTTTATATTTTAATGTAAATAGACAAATTTTTAATATTTTGATCATTTGTATTGTGAATACCATGTGATGGGAAGTTTTAAAATATCCTCCTACAGCCCAGACCTATCACTGTGTGATTTTAATTTTGTTTTTTTTTTTTTTTTTGCTCTAGGTAAAAGCTCTGAAGGGGCAGTATTATTGTTCAAGTAGAAATAGTGTAGCAGTTCTTTATGAAATTTGAAAATTGTTAGTTATATACTTAATCATAGTCATTTACAAAATTTTTTAAGGGAAACAAAGCTTAAAGACAAATAATTAAGCCAATAAATTTTTATTTAATTTTTGGGGGTTATTTTCCACAATTAGAGTATAGAATGTAAGAAGACAAAGCATCCCATGATTGAAGGCATAAGATTACACATCTCAATCACTTTTACAATATAATCATGCTGATTGCAAATGCCTATGTACTTAATATTAAACCATTTTGAAATAAACATTTTTCATCAGTTTGTAAAATCAGTTTCCTGTAATGAAAATAAATTAATTTAAGTATGTTTTTTGTTAAAAATTTTCAATTTTTTATATTAATTTAAAGGTTTATTCTTGTAATTATTGTTTAAAAATTTGATTTAAAATTTCCTATACATTTTTTACAGGTGGTTCTAGATATTTACCAGGAACAGTCCAATCTCCATTGTCTCCAAATGGTACTGATCCTTTTACAGGTCAGAAACGATATCAAACTGAAACTGCTGGTGATTGCCAAAAGGGTAATTGTCAAAATATCTTTATAAATTTTAAAATATAAAATATACATATAAGGTAATTGTAATATTCTTATTTGGAACTGTTGTCCTAAATAAACATAATAAATTAAACATACAGTAGAACCTCGATTATCTGGACTAATTGGGGATGAAGGTAGACCGGATAAGGAAAAATCCAGATAATCGAAACAAATACTTTAATTTGTCTTTTAATGATAATACAACACGTTTTCTTTTCGATGACATATCGGTAATATTAAAAGTAAATACTGTATTTAAATCGTGATCACATTTTCAAGAAACAAACGGTTCGTATTATATTTGGACTACTACTGACCAATGCTAACAGACTACCTATTGTTTAAAAGGCCCTCTGGTGGCGCAAGAAGATGGATTTTGTAAAATAAAAAGCAGTTGAAACTGCATTTTTATGAATAAAAATTTGACAAACTATTTATCGTTTTATGACGAGTAAAATTTTTTTGTCGCATTCGTGGCTTTTAAGTAATGCATAAACCTTCGAGGCGCGAGGCCCTTCGGACTGCGAGGCATAGGTGGTGGCCCACATCGTCCATGCCTTACGCCGCCCTTGGTCATAGAAATGATGTAATTTGAATATAAATTATTTATAAATACGTATGTCAAGTTATATTTTTATTATGATGTAAAATATATTTAAGAGTTTACGACCATTGTGATGGGTGAGACGTTGTTGAAACAAAAAAAGTTATGCGTTCCATTATGTACATAAAGAGTGTCATAATTTGCCAAGTGTAAATCAGCAAATTCATAAAATTTTTGTTTATTTTGAACAATCCGGATAATGGAGGTTCTACTGTATATTATTTCTGCTTTCTAAAATATCTGATCTGTAATAAAATAGCCATCAGGATTCCAGAGTAAATCATCTTAAAGAATAATTATTTCTACAATAATAAATCTTTTGACAATGTTTTCATTAGTTATAGAATTTACAGATCAGTTTATAAAATATCTATAAAGTAATTGTAAAGATTTACAGTTACAGAAATTCAAATTGAAATGTATATTATTTCTACATTTCATAATCTGTGTTAACTAATCTATTTTTATAGAATTCAGATATCTTTCCTAGCTTTGTCTTAAGCTCATATTATTAAAATTTGTGCAGATAATGCTGAAATGCTACACACACATGTTTACATACACATCAATACTACATTATATAAGTTATGAAACAATAAAATACTCTTTTCTTTAGATGATGTAAGAATAGCTGAGATTGTTGAAATAAGAAAATAATTTTTTTTTTTTTTTTCAAAATGCTTTTTCATTCAAAATTACATGTATGAAATACATAGAGATAACTAAGCATGAATCATTCTAATGATCAAATGATAAGGTTGGATTAGCTATCAGGCTAAAACTTGGCTAACTTCATAGTTATTACGCAAATTGGATGATACGTAGGTGGTTAAGTCACCATCTTGAACTAACCTTAATAATTATTATTAATTTTTGAATTGACTATTCTGGAAGAAAATTCCAGATGCAGTTGTGCCCTACGTGGTAGAAATTAAACAGTATATGTGTGCATGTTGCATAATATCACATATACAAATTAAGAATTATTCGTTTTAGAAAACTAAAATAAATTAATCAAAGGAGTAACTATACAAAAATATAAATGGAGAGATCAGAGACTAACCTCTAAATATATAACGTCTCAATAGACTTCGACCTGAGAGAGTTTATATCAAATATAATTACTTGTTACATGTTTACAATACCTGTTTCTTACCTTAGTTCCAGAGGATTCTGGAAAATCTGCTAATATGTGTTATAAGATTATAAATTTTTAAAATTTGAAATACTTGTAAAACAAATATACCGGTATCTCATATTTAAAAGTCTGATTTATGTTAATAAAATTCACAAACAAATAAACTATATGACTTATAAAAATTTTTATGTAAAAAATAAACAATATTGAATTGATATTGAATTGATTGATATTGAATTGATATNTAATTGCATTATATATATTTTTAATGAAATATACATTTTTCTGACGTGAAACATGGATTGTATGTTTATAATATAGTGGTATTGAAAATTTAAAAACACATAATTAGCCTGGAATTTAGCTTAGTGTGGTTTAGATGTAATTATAAAATACTTGTGGAATTATGGGTTTATTTGAGAGAAATTAACAGTAAACACACTTTTTGTAAAGCTTATTGTCATAAAATTAACAGATAGTAATATATTTATCTACTTATAGGAACAAATTATTTCAAATATTAAGAAATTTATTAATTTAATTCTAAAATTCAAAAATATAATTTCATCAATTGTATAAAATTGATTGATCACATTAATCAATAACCATCCATTTTTAGAATAAATCTGATATCATGTCTAATGTTTTTTTTTTCATTTTATTATCCTATTATCCAATTTCTGTTTCCACATAAGTTGTTGAAAATTTTAAAGAACCATTTCATTCATTTGATTAAATATTAAACTCAGTGAAATGAATTAAGATTATTTATATATAACATTGCATCATATTATATTTATAGGTGATAAAATGACTATTGAAGATACAGTAAAAAATACATATTTTCCTCAGGCTGAATTTGTCAAGTTTGATTTAGCTAATATAGATGGAATAACAAGTAAAATGAAGGAGTTTAATAATAAAGTACCTGTTGAGCAACAGTTGGCAGATGATGAATTAACTGAATTATTACAACTTATTCAACCTTCCAAAGAACCTACTAATCAACAGATGGCTTCACTGGAAAAAATAATTCATTGGCCAAAAGGTATATTTAATTTTTCAAAAAAAATTTTTTTATGATTATTAAATGTATAATATAATAATATTATTATGGTATTGCAGAAATGGTGTTTCCAGGATTAGATATTTTGCGTTTAGCTGTTCGTGAAATAAATGTAAATAGAAGAGTATGTGAAGCTGCAGGGATGCAGTTGATTAATCATCTTCTTACTTTTTTATTTCCTGAAAGTCAGCCAGCAAATAAAATGCTTGCTCTTCGAACATTATCTAATTTATTTACACATCCTCCCGGAGAAAAATTATTAGCTAGTCAAAGAGAAAGAATTTTAAATTTTGCTTCCCATTGTTCTGCATCAGACAATAAAAACGTTCAGATCTCTTTAGCAACCTTATATCTCAATTATGCTGTCTTACTTCAAAATTCTACGATAGAAATCAAATCTCAGTGCTTAAATAGAATATTTCAAGCGTTGTCTAATTACAATGATAGTGAAGCACAGTTTAGGCTTCTAGTGAGCTTAGGAACTTTTATATGGAAGGACGAACCTGCAATTAATTACGCGAAATTATTAGATTTTCCAGCATATGTAGAAAAAATGACAGAAGTTAAAGATCCCTCAAAGGTAGGTTTATGTGCAGAATATCTATTGTCTGTTTTCTATACCATCAATTAAAAGTGCGTTTAAAAGCATCATAACTGTTAAATAATTGAATTGCAATTGATGCTGTAACTCGATATGTTAACATATCTGTGATGTAAAACTGTTGTTTTGAATTAACATTGCAGTGTGTCTAATACTTGGTATTAGAAACAGAATTTTCATGAAGTTGGCTAATAGATTACTTGGGTCCAAATGTTATTTTATATAGTATTTGAAATTTAAATTAAATCTTTACATTAAGAAGTAAATTTATATTATACACTTCTAGGAATCATAAATTATCGAACAACTACTCTGTGATAATAATGCCTAAATTCACATATTATCTTCTTTATGAAGAAATATGTGGTACTCAAAGTTAAAGCCAACTTCATTATTATTAAAAGGGTGGATATTTAAATAAATAAACTCATCAGCATATCAAATATTTGAATATAATTATTACGGAAATTCTTCCAACAACTAAGGATATTGCTGATAATCAATGAAGTTTTTTTGCTTACTTTATGTATGATGATTTTTTAATAAAGTATTTTGAATTAAATGTAAATTATATACATATATATATTGAGTGAATATTCAAATTGTAAGATATATTTTTCAAATGTGATTAGTGAGTTTGTATACTGTTGATTGTCAATGTGCTTAAAATTTACTTAGAATGTTTCTAAAAAAAGAAAATTAAGGCATTTATGTTGTTTATGAAGAAAATATATATATATTGTAATATTGAAGTGATATTTCATTATTGTCTTGGTTTTTTTTCAGATGAAATAAAATTATTATTGGAATAGTTTTTCTTTAATAATGCTGCTCAAAAGCAACTTAAAACAAATTTTAGAATCACTATCAATATTTTTACAGTTAGTTTACGTTTTTGAATTTTCAGTTTCATTTATATGAGAATCTGATCAAAAAGTATGACCTTTTTCATGGAAAAAATGTGTTATTTGCTTAGACTTCATATATTCATCCTCTTCAAAATACTCATCTCTACACATTCTTGTGAAAGCAATTCAGGAAATTACTTTTTGGAATTGCCATCAGTACTTCACTGCATTGTCTTTGATGTTATATTATTGTTAAATCTTAATTTCTTTAATGACATCTTCAGTTTGGGGAAGAGCCAGAAATTGCGGGGAGCTTAGTTTGGCAAGTGGGAAGCTGCTGTACTTGTGCTGTTCCATGCTTGGTAGGAAATTCCTGAATCCAGATGCAATAAATGCCCATTCATTGCATCTAATTCAGGTGCTTCCAAATACTGCTTTGCCACAGATGTGCTCTCGCAGCAGACTTCATCCCAGGAAGTGCCAAAACATTTGCAGATGATTTTTATTGTTGAGCGATGGTGACGTATTCATTATTGTTAACTGATGCTCTTCCATCTTTGAAATGATGGCACTACTATTTAATTTGGGTTTTCTCCCCAGCATCATTTCTAAGGCTAGGACATCTAGGCACTAAAGATGATATAAATAGTTTATAAAAAACTATTTGTGATTTTTAATGCCTAGATATCCTAGCCTTAATCATTACCAAAGGCTTTCTGTGGCTTTTTAATGGTTTGCACTTGTTTGTCAATAAGCAATTCATTAATTTGCTGCTCAATGAATAGTCCTTAGTGCTTAGTCTAAGAAAACAACAATGGATAAGCACATAATGCACAAATATAAACATTCATTAACCCGTTTCAGTGGATTAATTGGGAACATCAGAACCTGACTAATTTGTCCCAGTAAATCAAATTTTAAGGAAAGAAAGAAAATCTAAGATACAAATGATCAATAAAGACAAAAACTAAATATAATGAATTTATTTACACATGCATTCACACTGAATATTAAAGTTCAAGAATAACATATTAAAATATAATCATTAAACAAAAAAAAATTATTTTTTCAGAAATTTATCAGGCATATCTTGACACATTTTCTTTATGCTTTGCAAATGGACAAAATCAATGTAGGGATCCAACACAGAAATAGGACTTCGTTTCCATCTTGCATAAAATATTGTTTTAGTTCAGAAATAAATTTTCTGGCTTCCTAGTCAACAAGTCTTGATTAAGAGTATCGTCTCCATCACTTTTCTTATCTTCTTTAGTTTTTAGGTATTTTTTCAAAACAACTTGTTCAATAATTGCATCTGCATAATCCTCACTTTCATTGTAATATGGAAGGTCATTATCAATTTATAAAAATTCTTTGTGATTTCTTTGTTTTGTGTAGTTCATAAAAGATTTCACTGTCATTATTGGCTATATCTGCCATTTCCTGTTCTGAAGTCTTAAAACCACAATGAAAAAAGCAGTTTCAAATTGTACTACAGCTTGCTTTTGTTCAACTACCATTGGCATATTTGTTTGTAAAATAGTAACCTTGGAACTATTTTGTAGAAGATATCAAGATATTTTCTTTAATTGCTTCAAAGATTATTGTACCAGCCTTCCACAATACGTTTTCAAATTTTTTACAACTTTCCTATCGAATGGTTATATGAAGGATATGGTAATAGCTGGAAGAAACTCTAAGTGAATGTTTTTCAAACACACTACATGAGGATGAGCAGTGGAGTTGTCTAAGAATAGCAGAACTGTTACTGACTTTCTGCAGTTCTGCATTCCTAAGCTATTTCAGAAATTGGATGTTATCCATGCATTGTTATCATATTACTCAACTGGTAAACAGTCCATTTTTAAAGACCTTTAAAGCACTAAGGCTTAGCATGCATTCAAATGACTAATATTTTCTATTTATCACTTTCTGACATAATACAGAAGTGCAATACAATGTGATTCATTGCTTTTTTTTTTAACTTAATGGTTCTGAGTTATAAATATGAAGTACCATTTGGGCTGGTATGGTAAAATAGCTCTGTTTCATCTACATTGTAGATTTGATCAAGATGAAATTTCTGCAGTAATTCAGGCTTATCTTTGAGCTAACTCTTCTGATTTAGTTTTTAACATTGGCCCATTAACACATACAGTACTTCTTGCTGCATAATATTGTCCCAAATAAATGGAAATCCCAATTAACACCAAATGATCTGCTGGATTATATCGGGATATAATATGGTCAATAATTTGCTATATTATGCCTGAGTAATTTTGCCTAGAGATAGGTATTAAGCATCATCTCAAATTTAATAATTATAAATAAATTAATCAAATGCTTAATTTAGAAAATTCTGGAAGAAAAGAATCAGCCTGGAGTGAGACTCGAATCTTCAAACTTACTATGCAGATATGATGCCCACTTACCACTGTAGATGTGTTGCTAGTTACTCTTCCTCGACCTCCATTTGATCTTTGCTTCCAGACCTATCTCGTACATAAATTATTAATTGTTATGGAGGTGAAGATTGGATAGAGATCCAGTTAGAGTAACTGGCAACGCATCTATGCAGTAAGCAAGAGTTATAGGCTGTAATCCTGTTGATCCTTCTCTTCTAGAACTTTCTAAATTAAAAATCAATAATTATAAATAAATGAAAACAATTAATAATAACCCAATATACAGTAATCCGGCAGATTGTTGGCACATAATGCACACAGGCCACTCTATACATACTGCTTCAACTTAGAGCTGGGAAAAAATTCATAAGTGCATGCAAAGATAGATGATATAGCCTGTCCAAACACACCCTTTAGTTTACTAGGAAGTTGGATACTTTTTGATCAGACCTTGTATGACATTCCTTGGTTTCTACATAATAGTTTAAAATTTTCATATTTAAATTACCAAAATAAAATACTAGTAGTGGGGTTTTTTTTCTGTAGTGTTTCATTATAACATACACATACATTAATATTGTTCACAATGTATTTTATTGTATCATTATATCTCTTTACATTGATCTGTAAGTAATTCTAATTGTTTAAAATAAATTGAAATGTGACTAAAATATATAATTAAATGAAGAGAATACAAAAAATTTGTTTTTCATCACCAAAAGTAGAAAGTTTCAGATTATTTTTGCTAATTAAATCAATTGAAAGAATATTATCCTTACTAAGAATGCAAATTTGAATAGCATATATTTTAAAATTATATCAATATTGATAATTAAAGTAATTTTTGAATGATAAAACATAAAATTGACTTTCCAGTGATATTAACTTAAATTTTTTTACAGACAAAATTAATATTTATCTAAATATCATTTGATTGAAAGAAAAGAGACTCAAATTTTTATGTATTAGACTTTTTTCATATTAATGCATAAACTTTAAATTTTATTAAAAATGAAATTCAAAAATTTTCACTTATAGGTAATAAACAATTAGATTGACAAGTTAAAAATTAAATTTTAAATATTATTTTTGTAATTTTAAGTGCTTAATGATATAAAATTATTATTATTATTGTGGAATTGGACCATCCAGAATTGAATAATTTATAAATTCAACAGTACATGATGAAATAGCATTACAAGGTGCAGATTCTAATTCTAACAAAACCAAATTATTCTGTTGAGGAAAAGGATGAAATAAAATCCCTGGTGTATAAAGAGTAACCTGTGGACCCATTGCCGGCCAGTAACGTCCAAGGTTGAAGCCATTGAGGAAAGCCACTCCTTTTGTCCAGTTACGAAGATTAAGGAATGAATCTAAAGGTTCTGCAGCAGTTGGAAGAGTAAAATTTACACTGAAAAATCCAGGCATTTCAGCTACATATTCTTCTGGGTTTTTTGGATGATACATTTTATCTAGACTATGAATCAGTTTAGTATTATTCAGAGGAATTTTTTGAATTACCCAGTTAATTAACATTTCATTCCCTAAAGTAACATTTGATGTCAAGCCCTGTAAAGATAATGCATTTATTTAAGTATTCTTTCTTAAATAAGAAAATATTAAGATATAAAAGTACTTACAAAATCATTTGTACAGTTTGCAGTATGGAAGCATAATATAAAACTGCTTATTGTAATCAGATATTGTAATCATCATGTATTTTAGGAAATGCTAGTCTGATAAAATACACTTTAAAACTCTAACTAAAACATAAAAGTTTTTTTTCTTTAGTTAGGTTAAAAGTGCATATTTATCCGAAGATAATGGTCAATTTTGCACTTGAGCTTCAGTGTAAAGCTAATAAGACTGTTAATGATTGCACTTTAATTGCTATGTTTAAAACACTAGTTGAAATTGTTAGCATATAATTGAATTAGGAAAGAGAATCTGTAATTAGATAGTACTGCAAAAAAACAGTAGGAAACCAACATTGTATGAATTAATTAATTAAATTAATGAATGTATGACTTAAACATGTCCTTTTATTGTCAGAGTTAATTTATTTTATTTTTATTTTTTCTATCTATAGATTGGATAATTATGCTTATTTTTGAACATGAGGTGTAAGTACACCTCATGTTCAAAAATAAGCATGCATATATATATGCATGCTTATTTTTACACGTGTATATTGCATATACATATATATATGTGAGGTGTATATTACCTCTATATATATAAAATATATATAACTTCATTAAAAATTTTTATAATAAACATATTGTTATCCATAATTGCACATGCACACATGCATTGGGCATCACTTAGAAATGAGAATTGTTCAATACAGAGCAGCATCTAAATCATTCCAGCTTTGGTAGTATAGTTAATGAGTAGATTGGCCAAGGCATTTGGAAAGTTTCTTGAAATTGCTGGGATTTTCCTTGAGAATCTAATCAAAAACATGGACAGATAGAAAAGTTACTGAATCCATCAGTAGAAAAGTTACTGAAGAAATGCATTATTAAATTCTGTACTTTGGATTTTGTTCAACAGAATGTATGTTGAGAAAGTTGCTCACAAATGAAGGCCTTGTATGAAAATTATGATAATCTGTGTGCTGTCTGGATGGCTGAGGCAATTAAGATGCCAGTCTACTGTTCTGATGACTTGACCGTGGTTCACTCTGGACATGTTGAAAAACCAGGATAGAGAACCTCTGAAAAATCTGGGCAGGTTTTTAAGAGGAGGTTTATCCTAGATATGTTGGGCTCTGCTCTCATACTTAACCACCCCATTACAGGCCTGGCCAAACCAACAATAAAAAAAGGCATTCTTAGTGCCCATAGGGTGGGGAATTAAAATGCTATAGTCTACCATTCTTTTCACCTTTTACAACGTTAGAAAGACTATCAATATCATCCATAACCAATAAGAGCAGAACAGGAAAAGAAAACAGTTTCTTTCCTGTCTAAAAATATGGGATAGGAGATGGCTGTTGTGAAAAGCAAAGGCAATTATCAGATAAAATCAGTTCATTGTAAGTCATTTGCCTCTAGGCATAATACACATAAGTTATTTTGGATTATATATAAATATATGAATTTAATATGGATCTGTATACCAGGCATTAAACAGTGCAATGGTGTAGTGCCCCACTAGAATGTTGTGAAGAAATGATCAATATTATTATTTATTTTCAAAGTCAATGAAGTAAGTTTGACTCCTTATTTGCATATTTAAGCTTAATTAAAATTTAATCAACTGTATAAAAATAACATAAATATTTAAATTAAATGTTTATGTAACTTATTGCTCTTGTAATCTTTTTTTCAGGTGCAAGAAAAATTTTTAAAAGAATACTACAATATGACAAAAAACAGAATGCAATCAAGTTTTACACTATACTAGTGTTTGATAATTATAATTAAGCATTGGATTTTGCATGTCTTTTTACAAATCTCTATGAAGTTGGAAGGAATAAAAATGTATTCCATGAGATACAAAAAAACATATTACACCCATACCTCGCTATACGGCCGCTCTTTATACGGCATTTCGCTATAACGGCCCTCTTCAATTAAGGCACGTTTTCGATTTACGGCCTAAAATGTTTCGCTATAACGGCAAAAAAACTTTTTTTGATGTTGATATATCTACATGTTGCCAATCTTGTGCAAGCGCAATCTCGATGTACACTCTTTTCTATTTCCTCTTGTTTACGAGCGTTATTCAGTGTGTGCTCATAAAGCGGCTGGTTTAAACTTGTCTGTGAGTGTTTTATGTACATATTTATTACTGATTGTTACACATTAACTGGAAAAATTGGAAACAATTAGGGACATTTTTGGTACGTAAGTACATATGTATGTGTGTACAAATTAAACATTTTAATATGTATTTTTTTATTAAACTTATTTTATAATTTCATTATTTTTTAGACAAAATGCCACCGAAACGATCATCGACTTCGGAGACTGAAAAAGATATGCCGAAAATCAGTCACGCTAGGAACTAAACTAGAGGTATTACGTCGTATAGAAGCTGGAGAGAAAATTGTTGAAATTTGCAAGGCAATGGGACTTGCGAAATCTACCATTCAAACTATTCGCGATAAAAAAGAAGATATTAAAACATATTTGCAATCTGCTGCACCTTTAAATGTCTCGAGATTAACACGCCAAAGAAACTAGATTATGGAAAAAATAAAATAAACTATTGATTATATGGATTGAGCACAATAACAAACGGAGAATGCCAATGAATCAAATGACTATCCAGGAAAAGGCTTTAAGTATTTTCGAAAATTTGAAGAATGGAGATACTGATGAATCTGCTGAAGATGTCACATTCCAAGCAAGCCGAGGATTGTTTGAAAAATTTAAAAATGGATTTAATTTGCATAATTTGAAAATGAAAGGTGAAGCAGCTAGCGCCAATGAGGCCGCATCTAAGGAATATCCCAACATTTTAAAGGAAATTATTGAAAGAGGTGGTTATAAACTTGAACAAGTGTTTAACATAGACGAAACAAAGATTTATTAGAAGCGAACGCCTGATCTCACGTACATTTCAAAAACCGAAAAATCTACGCCTGGTTATAAGGTGTCTAAAGAACGATTAACTTTGCTACTTGGTGCAAATGCCATGGGTGATTTTAAGCTAAAACCACTTTTAATATATCTGTCCGAAAATCTAAGGCCTCTTAAAAAACTAAATAAAAATCAATTACCCGTCATATGGAGATCCAACAAGAAAACTTGGATGACTAAAGCTACTTTTGAGGATTGGTTCAAAAATCACTTTTGTACAGAAGTGAAAAAATATTTGCGAGACAATAACTTAAGCAACAAGGCTTTGCTAATTTTGGATAATGCACCAGGGCATCCTACTAATTTATCCGAACTATCTGAAGATGCCATGATTGAGTGCCTTCCGAAAAATACAACAGCTCTGATCTAACCAATGGATCAAGGTGCAATAGCCACTTTTAAGGCATATTACCTACGCCAAACTTTCCGACAACTTCTAAGGGAAATGAACCATCTTTGGAAAAAAATATGGCCAGAATGTGTAAAAAGTACTGATGCAGAAGTTAATTTCCTTCCTGAAATCAGGCAAAACATTTTGGATCTAGCACAAGATCTCGGCTTTGAAGGTTTGAACGAACGTGATGTGCTTGATCTACTTGAAGCTGATAGGGAACCCCTTTCATATGAGAAACTCATTCAGTTGCAAGCAGAACCGGAATTTGATGAAAAGACAGAGCCTGTTGTATCCAAACAGCTAACATCAAAAAATTTGTCAAAAGCTTTTTCCAGTTTCGAACAAGGAATAAACATCCTCCTTGAAAACGATCCTGACGTTGAACGTAGCGCTAAGGTTTCTCGAGGAATTAATTCAACCATTAGCTGTTATAAATCACTGAAGAACGAAATATACAAGAAGGCAAGACAAACAACGGTGGACAATTTTTTTAAGCCAGGCCCATCCTTACCAGCGAAAAATGACGACAGTGATCTGCAGGTTACCATTTCTTCATCGTCTTCAGATTAAAGCCATTTAAAAAAAATGATGTATGTAAACATACACATATTTTATGTAACATGAAGTTGTTTCATTTTTGTTTATAGATTATTGTTGCTTTTTGGAGTCTGTTATTATTTTATGTAAAAATGCATGTACTTCTTATGTATATATTTTTGATTTAAATGAAATAAAAAGATAAAATGCATTTTGAATGATAAACCATGTTACATATTTAACAAATTTGGAACTGATCCCATTGAATTTGTATGAATTTGTATCAGAATAATTGATTCCTTATACGGCTTTTCGCTTTGCAGCCAAGTTTTGTAGAACGTATCTAGGCCATAAAGCGAGGTATGGGTGTATTGACTTCCAACAGTGGATTCAACCTATTCGTATGTCTTCCTCAGTTAGAATCTACAGAAATGGAACTAACTAACTAATCAAATTCAATACAATTAATTTTGTATTTGATTTGTTAGTTTGTTCCATTTCTGTAGATTCTAACTTGTTTTTATTGTATTAAACTCACAGCTAAAAGTCAACAGTATTTTTGTATTCCATGAAGCTAGGGAGCCATTTCCTAAATTTAAGTGAGCATTTACAGTACTTAATTTTAAAAGTTTGATTATATTTTGCATGTTTGGTATAATTGGGTATATTTTGACATATTAGAGATTTTATACAAAATTAAACTGAGAAAAAAGCTGAAGAATTCTTAGCTTTCTGAAGGGAAAAAAAAGCTAAGGAGTTGTACTATGACTCAAAACTTGAAACCAAATCAGTCTATTTAATAGAGAATTAAATACTGATTCCAGAAATGCCCTTGTTTATACCAATACTCTCTATTTTGAGTTATTAGCAATTAAAGTTGATGATGCATGCAATGACATGAATTAAATATAAAGAAAAATTTAATATTAAATTTAAGAAGCATACCTTAAAATCTGAATCACCAGAATTAATTCTTCCTTGATTTTCTACAAGAATGGTAAGGATTTGGCCTCTCATAATTTTAAGCGGTAAGGAAAATATATTCATTTGTCTGCTTATAATTCCACAAAATTTATTATCAATAAAAATATAACCTCGATCATGCAGACCTGGAACATTTAGTAGTATGGGGTCTGTTGGAATAATCTTGATTAGAGTAGAGTAACTAACAAATCCTGATTTTTGACTTATTTCTTCAAAAGTTTTAGGATATTTGGAATATATTGAACTGCTTGTACCAAGATATATAATTGAATTTAATAGAGGTGCTACATATTTCATTATTAATGGATTAAGTGCTAACTTTTTAGAAGGCGGAGGAGGATCTGGTAATGGAGATGGTATATAAGATTTGATAACATTTCTGATTTTGAAGTATTTTGCTGTCAAATCACCTGCTTCTGAGATAGGAGCTGAATAATCATAACTTGTCACTTGTGGTGAATATTGCATATTTGCACCATTTGTAAATCCAAAATTAGTTCCTCCGTGAAACATGTAAAAGTTAACAGATGCATTGTTTTTAAGAATTTGGTCCAAAGTTTTACATATGGCATCTATGTTGACATTAGCATGTGCGTCTCCCCAATGATCCATCCATCCTGGATAATACTCGGTAACAACAAGAGGTCCTGATCTTTCAAAATGTCTTATGTTTTGAAAAGCTTCAGAAACATTGGATCCAGATCCAAAATCAGCTGTTGTCAAAACACCATCAATGTTGTCACATTTATAGAAAACATCCTTAGGAATATCTGTTTTAAATAAAACAATGTTATTGCCTAGATAATGTCTTATAACATCACGTAAATGTGACATATATTCAAAATCGCATCCATGTTGACCATATTCATTTTCTACTTGCACTGTAATGATTGGACCACCATTTTCATATAAATATGGTTTAATTAATGGAAGTAGTACACCAAGCCATTTATCAACGTATTTAAGATAAGTATTATCGCTAGATCGCAACACTATGTTGGGCTTTTCACGTAACAGCCAATAGGGAAAACCTCCCAAATCTCTTTCGGCACATATGTATGGACCTGGTCTAAATATTACCAGAAGTCCAACTTCTTGAGCTGTATCCAAAAATGTAAAAATGTCATTATTATCACGAAAATTGTATGTTCCTATTTCTGGTTCATGACTACTCCATTCTACATAAGTCTGCAATGCATTTAAACCCGCAGCCTTCATTTTGATCATGCGATCTCTCCAATAGACTTTTGGCACTCTAAAATAGTGTAATGAACCAGATATGTAACGAAAGGGTTGGCCATCTTTCAAGAAACAGTTATTTTCAAAATCAACACTGAAACTTCGGATTGAATATATACTAGGAAAAATACAACTCGAGATAAGAAAAAATAATAACTTCATACTGTAGAGTTTTCTAAGTTTCTTTGCAGTTATAAATTTATTCTTTAATATAATCTGAAATATACAAATATTTATTAAAACATTTAAATGGTCTAAAATAATAATATTGAAGTAGTTTTAATAATTTATTTAAATATTAAAAATTAGAAAAAAAACTGACGTGCGAATTTAGAACTAGAATTTAGAATACTTTTATTTTATACTTTATCTAACTAAATTTTTAAAAATATTAAAAATAAATTGAAATATAATTTTCAATAATAATTAATTAAGAATTAGGAATACATATTTAAAATTTTAGCCAAAATAAATAGCTGTATCCATTTTATGCTGTACTAAGAGGTGTAAACAGATGTGTATGCAAAGATAGAACTGGAACATTGATTCAGGGGTTAAATTAATGGAATAAATTGTCTGAAACATTTAAAGGAATCAAAGAAAGTTCAAAATTTTTCAGGAATGCTGTCAACAGGAACTATCTTATGTTTGCTTGTAGAAATACCACTAATAAATTTATTGAGTAACACTTTTGTTCTAAATTTTGAAATAACTATATTTTATTGGGCCAAATCCAGACAATGAAAGGTCATTCTGTATAGCTGGGATGGGCAACCTTTTTCTATGTTAGGGCTGCATTTAAAACTTTTGAACTGATGCGAGCTGCATATAAGAGAAAAGAGAAAAAAAAATTCAGTAAATCACAGTTATTTATTCATATATAATTATAAATTAGCATAGGTATATTTAATTTAGCATCTGGAACTGATGTAAATGTAATATATCAGAAATATTTGGTTAAATATTAGTCACTGCTATTTTTAAATTAGTTTTGATATGCCTGTTAGTAAAAATTAAAACAAAAACCAGCTAAATTCTTTGTGGAAAAACTATTCACGTACATAAGTTGTAGAAAATAGCATTTGAATTTTTGCTGCATACTTCCTTAAGCTGGAAAGTTGATATATTTATTCATATTTTACATGGGCCGCAAAAAATATTACTGTGGTCTACCCATCCCTGTTGTATAGTATTGCCAAATGAATGGTGACAATTACTGTATTTTATTTCAGGATATTAAATGATACTTATAAGTCAAAAATATTGGACAATTGAAATTAAAAAGTATTGAAAATGATGAATGGAATGATAAAGAAATAGAGGCTAATGCAAAACTAATTTTAATATATCTAGCAGGTTATGTTGAATATAATAAATTGTCTTGAATGCAAATCTTCATTATTCTGTAACAGAACAATGGAATATGATTGCTCAAAAACGGAAGATTAGAAGCTTGGAATGAACAAAAGGATAAACTGAAAATTAGTCATTGTGTTTCGAATTTTACAGATATTGATTAGTGAACACTTGTTTTTAAAATGCAAGAACCAAAAATTCATTTTAATACAACTTAACTGGAAAATTTTCAGTTCTTGGATTATACATTCACAGTTTTGCAGATAGGGCTTGTCATCAGAAACTATAACTGAAAAGTGTTTGTCAATACAATAATTAAGAAAAATAATTATTAAAATAAAAAAATGATATTGGAAATTTTTCAATACTTTTTTCTATTTTGACTTTCAAATAAAATAAATTTTAATGATGTTTTGTTTTCTATATTTATATAATGTAAACATTCATATCATATACAGTTGAATCCACTTACAGAGCATTGGATAAGGGAGCAGTTTGCTTAAGAGAGCACACTTCCATGTTCCTGATTTTTACCTCTGTTTTATATGTAATGAGATTCCAGTCAACAGAGCAGTCTGTTTAAATAAGTACAGTGTCGGTGGCATTTTTAGAGCAGCAGTCTGTCTATGGAAGATTTATAAAGGTCTCTAACTGTACTGTGTATCACTTCTCAGAGCACAAGATGATCACCACTGGTTCTTAACCTTTTTATACTTGTGGCCCACCAAATATTTCATAATTTTTTTTTGTGCTTCCCATTTTTTTTATTAATAATTTATTTTTGTTAAATTATCTATAATAAATTGATTTTTTATTATTGCTTTATTTTTTTTATATAATAAATGTAAAACATAACTTTATTATTTCATTATCTATTTAAATAACAATTAAACGTAAAAACTCATTAATTTTTAATAAAGTAAGAACTATTATTCGATCCAAAGTCGATGCTAAAACTCTAAAACACCCACAACTTGTAAAGATTTTGCATATCTTTTACAAAAACATTTAAATTTTCAAAGCTTACTATTTTTCCTAATTATTTTTAAAATTCCAAGCATTAATATTTTCTTAGAATTTATTGGAATAAAAGAAGTAAATACAGCGGTGTAAGTAGCATATTTGCATTTATTTCTTCTGTACTAACAAAGTTGTATGTAGGAAGAAATAAAAAAAAAAAATAAATGTGAAAACTTTATCTTTCTTATTTTACTTTTCAATATGTTATTCAGTTATACATCAATTTTCTTTTTATTATATTCTGAAGGAAATTTTGCATAATTTGGTGGCCCCCGGCAAATTTCTTATGGACCCCCAGGGGCGGTGGCCCTGGGGGTCCATAAGAAATTTACTGCTCTACACAGTTTACAATTAACCAACATATACTGCTCTACACAGCAGTATATGTTGAAATATGCAGTATGATTAAAAGAAAATTAATAGAAAAAGATGGAGGGATAAAAATGAAAAATTTGTTCACAAATTGACAAAATTTATTTTTCATAGAGAGACTGTTTCATTTAAGCATATTTAGAAAAAAAATTTTAATGATTATTCTTTACAATCATTTCCTTTACCAGATCAAGGAAATGATTGTAAAGAAAGTCATAAGTAATTGAATTCAAAAGAAAATTACAAACTTCTTTAAGTAAACTTGTTCAGGTTTGTTTACAATAGTACTGTACTGTACAGTACATGTAGTTCATTTCCATATTTGTAAATTATTGTAGAAAAATTTGATAGAATATAACTATTCTTGCAGTACTGTATTTGTGCTTATATTGTACATTCCATTAGAGTATACAGAATTTTGGAGCAAGTGTTTACATCTTTTCAGCTGCTTCCTACTGCATTTCTGGGAAGAAGTGAAAGTAATCTGACTTAACAGTAAGATTACTTTCATTACTTCCTGAGTATACAGTATACACCCATCACTCTTTTTGCTCAGTGACTAACTTTCAAAGAACGTTGTGTAAAAAAATATAGTACATGCATCCTATAGAAAAAGAATCAATAGGATCCGGAACAAAAAATAAACAATTTACAAAAGAAACACGAGCTTTTTCATTCTAACATTATTTGTACATAAATACAGTAAACACAAGATAGCATAAAATCAACATGCAGCATTCTCTGATATATGTACTGTGCTTAAAAAACAAATTTACTTTTGATTTCACAAAAATAACTTATTGTTAAAATTGTGTTGTTATTAAAAAAGTTAAATTGAAACATTTTATATTTTACATGAAAATAATTTGACACCCAGAACTAAAATATAAACCGGCACGATTGTAAAATTTATTTTATAATGATACAGTATGTTATTTTTGTGGTGATGGCATAAAGGTGGTGTAAATACAGTGGATTGGATGTGTTCACACTTCAATGTCACGAAATTTAAGATGAAGGCAATTAATTGTGAAATAAATAGGAGATACTCGAAAGAATTGGGTAAGTGATCATTTTTATCTTAAGTACATTTAATTTTCAATTTTTATATTTAGAAAAAAAATAAATGGTTTACTTTTTGTCGGGAAAATAATGAAATTCTGAAAATACGAGCATATAAGTTTGATTGGGCTAATTAAAAATTCTCCTATTATAAGATAAACGACTTCCAACCACTTAACACTGTGTTGAATAATAACAATCCACGAAAAACCTTTTTTTACCTATTATAAAAACCTATTATATTATACAGCACAATTTAAGAATCTGGTATAGTGTCTTTAAAAGTATAGGGATGTTTTATTATGGTCCTAAGCTTGTAATTAATATTTTATTTTATTTACTAAAAACGGGATGTCAGTTTTTGGTTTTAGCATTAGATGTCATGCATGATACGTGTGCAAATGGTGCCGTCATTAGTAAACTTTTGTGCCATATTTTTGTCTTAATTAATAAGAGGTAGAATTTGTATTCCCTATTTTGGCTGTGTACCATAGCATTTAGAATTATCCCACGCCGATAAGAGGAAGGGTTGATCTTGTTAGATGTGTAGGTGCTCTATTTTATGTTAGTCATAAGTGTATTAATTTTTATTTAAGGCACTTTTCCTGCAAATAATTTTTCCCATAACGTTTCTGGATAAAGCAATGGCTACATGTTTAACAATGCTATTTGTATGTTGTTTCGTAACGAAGTGCATAACCCCTAAGACCATTAAGAAGCTTCTAATAAAATAAAATCAAAGTGAGAAGTTGAAAATATGTATATTGGATTATTTGCAGCGCTAGCCTATCTGTGTGCCCACCCCGAAATAAATTATTCGAGTCTGCCTACACTGACCATTATTAGAGGATTTCTTTAATTAAATACGAATTGATTGTTCGCCAAATAATTACACGTTCGCATTAAACTTTTTTGCTTTCGTATCTTACTGAAAATTTATTTGTTTGATGATAAAATGTGCATCTAACACCTGCCCAATGGCTGCTCGTCCATGAAGGCTGACGCCTCCAATATAAAATGAAAGTTCCTGTTTTATTATCGTCGTTCTTAAATCTGTATTAATTTATCATAAAGAAATTATATATATATATATTAATTTTATTAATGATATAAATTTTTCAATCCATATTAATTTTCCTTTTATTTTTATTGTTAAAGCCCCACCACCACTAATTCTTACGAGTCGCCATTGTACTCGTTCCCTAAATGTTCCATCCACCTCGCATCCTCCCAGAACGGGGGGGAAAAACTAATGCCGATACTGATCCTCTCAGTTCAGTAGACAAAAGTTTGTTTCGATATTTACTATCGTCACAAACAACTTATAACGCTTCACGATGAAATCTTTTGATTTCATCGTGAAGCCTCGGCTAATTAAATAGGAAGTTTTTAGTTGGCTACTTTTGTGTTACTTTTTAGAAAATTTTTGCCTACAAAAGCTAAAAAGTCAGTCTCAATTTGAAGAAACCGCTTGTGTGCGTGATCTCGACCACAGCGGTCGGCAACCGGTTGTCCGCGGAGAAATTTAGACATTTATTAATTAATTGAAGCTTGCGCGAAGTATTACGAAAGAAATGCAAAATGCTTAGTTACTTTTTTTACTTACTTGGTTTTTTTTTATTCGAATCTAAAATCAAACACGAAGCGACTCTTACCAAGAAATAACGAACAATAAACAATATTGTGAGTGCGATTGTCGTCCTTCGTGGAAAAGCGCTAAGAATCCATAAACTTAGCAATGAACTTTAGGCTCTCATTAATTTGTTATAATTAAATAAGCGAGTTTCATATTAATATAGTAAAATTGAACTTGTACGTATAAAAAATTCATGAAATTTATTCCGCGAGGTCAGAAAGGTTGCATACCGCTGCTCTAGACATTCCAAAAAAATTAATAAACGAGGAAGAAATGCCGGGTGCATCCACTTATTGTTCAACGTTTGATAAAAGGACAGTTTATAAACTATCAAGAATTACGATGACATCCTCGCAACTTATAAACTATCTTGAAGCATAATTTAATAAAAAATATATATTATTATAAATTTATTTCTTTTCACCATCATCCCAACATACTAGTATAGCGAACACAATAACTTAACCGAGTTGTCCGACTGTATAGTTGCAACTTCCGTCTTGGAAGTGAGCGCGGACACGTTTAAACACGCACATCGATACAAATAAAATAATTGGCTGACAGAACGACGTGTCGGCGCAGTTCCATAGGAGTATGTCGACTAAAAATTGCGTGTCAGCGCCTTGTTTGACACAACAATTTTCAAGAACCTATCGAAAACGTTAAACGAGGACTCTATATTTCGGAAAATTTTGATTAAAACACAAGTTATACCTTTAGTAATGCATTTTTTATAATTACTAATAGACGATATTTCATGCAAATTTAAATTTTACAATCTATAATCATTAAAGTTACATAATAAGTATTTATTTAACTCACCCTTTGATGAAACGTTTCAAAATTTTAATCGTTTGTCATATGATTTAGAACAGATATCAATAAAAATGATATATATATATATTTTTTTTGTCGTCTTTCCCGTGATTAGATAAAGATTAAAAGGAAATAATCTAAAGGACTTTTTTAAAAATACTTGTAAGTTACTTTTTATATATTGTTATGTGTAATTTATACAAGATGTCAACAATATAGGCATAAAGAACCCGTGTTTTTATGATATAACGTGTTAATTACGTGCCACTTTTGACCTTCCTCCTCCTCTCCGTCGTATGAGATGATGCACTTTCCGATTCCCTGTCTCTCTCTTAACGGGCGGTTCCTTTAGGTGTTTTACAGTGTATAGCAACTGTTATAAATAATTTAATTACTTCTGATATCAGTTTTATTAATTTAATGAATTTTGCAATTCTCTCAATGATTTTGATGAATAAGTATTGATTTTAATCATTATAATTTATTATAACTTAATTGTGAAAAAAGCATAAGATTTTTCCAGTAAAAATTGAAATTAACTTGTTCAGGGAGTTAAAAATCATTTTAATGGGATTCAATAATCAATAAGTTTTTTAATTTTGGTGGTGTGAGATTTTAAATTTCAAGAAAATTTGTATCTTGCATTTTAGAAAATAATAATAATAACGATGATGATTTGTGGCGTAGTAAACACTAGTATTGTGTTTTATTCCAAAGACACATGGCAAATTTTTCATCAAATTCCTTTATTAGTTGAGTCGACTCAACTAATAAAGGAATTTGATGAAAAATTTGCCATGTGTCTTTGGAATAAAACACAATACTAGTGTTTACTACGCCACAAATATAAAACAGGACACAGTTTCAAAAAGAAAATCAAAAAATGATGATGATAAACTGCTTTATTTAAATGAGCTTCAATGAAGTGCACATTAAGATAAATTTGTTTTAGTCGAAGAAATAGAAGTTATAAGACAAATATAACAAAATTACACGATATTGAAAGTTTGTATTATATATATATAGGCCTATATAACAATTAAAAAATCTGCTTATTGTAGTTTACTCTAATAACAGCTTAACAATAAGTGAATCGGCTTGATAGCAAAGTCACTCGTTTGTTTGAATGTCTCCCGACAATAGGCTTGGTCGCGTGAAAGTGCTGGAGAAAAACTTGTTATTAGAGCAACTCCGATAAAACAATTTTTTTTGTTTTAGTTAAATTTTTAAATGACCCAAAGTTGCTTTTCGTTATTTATATCGTGATTTGAAACCAGAAAATGCTTTTTCAGTTGTTTTCTTTGATTTTCCAGAGCATTAACATATTTGATTTGTAAAATAGGAAGCTCGACTAATAGTAATAATGCTGGATTATAATCAGTTTATAACCTTTATAATTAATTAGCCATATTATAGCCTGATTAAAATCCAGTAGTATTGTTTATTTAGAAATGTTTTCATTGAGTCGTGTTGTTATAAATTAGACTAGTAAAAATTTTACCATTTTAATAACAACAACTTAATTAGAATTTTTCATTTAAATTTTTCAAAACCTAATCAATATTACATGTTATAACAATGGATAATTTTTAAAAAGTTACAAATGTTGAAGAGTGAAACCAATAAGAAATTCAAATAGAAATGTCATTTATTATACAGTATTTACTTTCAGTTTTAAATATTTTTATATTAATTTTCCAAGAAATGAAGAATTTACATATACATATTTATAAGTTAAAGATTAACAATTTAAATACTAAAGTTTAAAATATTAAATACTGTATTATACCGTAACGATTAATTCTAAGATTAATTCAAGTAGCCGAAATATAATTGTTCATAATTAAAACTTATGTGTTTTTCAAACAAAAGTAAATCTTAAACTGTAATTATTCAGTATTCTTTGTATTAAAGTATTTATTATTAGAAATCTTAACATACAGTTTTGTTTTATTCTGTTAGAATTTCATTTTCAGAATTTTATGCATTTTTTTATTTAGTGATTTCTGTATTGATAATGTTTCTGATACATTGTATTTTAATTTTATACTATGGTATTAATATTCTGTTATTTTAAATATGTTTATAAATTTTTTCTATTTGTTTATTAATAATTTGCTTTTTTTTATTTTAGAATATTTTCCTGTAATAGTTTAAAGCTACATAATGTTTCAACTTTTATTTCAAATTTTGTATTTGACAATATTCATCAATCCTATTACACAGTTGAACAATCAGCCTTCTTTTACTGTGGATTATGAACATAATCAATTTTTAAAAGATGGACGGCCTTTTCGTTACGTATCGGGATCAATGCATTATTTTAGAGTTCCAAAAGAATATTGGAAAGACCGTATGTTAAAAATGAAAGCTGCAGGATTGAATTCATTGCAGACTTATGTAGAATGGAGTAGTCATGAACCTGAATTAGGAACTTACACATTTTCAGATAATAACGATGTTTTTACATTTCTACAAACAGCCCAAGAAGTTGGTCTTTTAGTAATTCTCAGACCTGGTCCTTATATATGCGCAGAAAGAGAATTTGGAGGTTTACCTTATTGGCTATTAAGAGAGAAACCAAATATTGCTTTGCGCACAAGTGATCCAAACTTTCTTTATTATCTGGATAATTGGTTTGATGTACTGTTACCATTAATAAAACCATTTTTATATGAAAATGGTGGGCCAATAATTATGGTTCAGATTGAAAATGAATATGGTGAATTTGGCTGTGATTATGAATACTTAAATCATCTCAGAGATTTATTAATTCATTATTTAGGCAATAAAATTATAATCTTTAGAACTGATGTTCCTGATACAAATTATTATAAGTGTGATAATATTGATAATGTTCTTACCTCAGCTGATTTTGGGCCAAATTATAATGTTACATCTGCATTTGAAACGGTTCGAATTTTCCAGCAACATGGTCCTTTAACAGTTACCGAATATTACGCAGGATGGATGGATACATGGGGACATAAACATTTTATTGTCGACATTGATAATGTATGCAAAACTCTTGACAAAATTCTTTCATACAATGCTTCTGTTAACTTTTATATGTTTCATGGTGGAACTAATTTTGCATTTACCAATGGAGCCAATCCATCTTTCAATGTTCTAGTAACTAGTTATGATTATTCTTCTTGTTTATCAGAAGCAGGAGATCCGACTGAACTTTATTATGCAGTGAGAAACATTATTGGAAAATATGTTCCACTTCCACCTGAACCACCACCAAAACCTTCTCCAAAACTTGCTTTAGGTCCTTTAAATATGAAATATTTAGCCCCTTTGTTACATTCTATGATATATCTTGGAATTCCAAAAACAGTTTTTTCTAAATATCCTAAAACTTTTGAAGAAATAAGTCAGGCTTATGGTTTTGTTAGCTATTCAACTGTAATTGAATTCATTCCAACAAGTCCCTCTGTATTAAATGCCACAGGTTTGAATGATCGTGGTTATATATTTGTCGATAACAAGTTTCAAGCAATTTTGAGTAGAGAAATGAATATATTTCATTTACCACTTAAAATCTCAAGAAATCAAATACTTACTATTCTTGTTGAAAATCAAGGAAGATTAGATTCAGCAACTTTGGACTTCAAGGTTAGTTATAAAATACTAAATGAATTATATAATTTATATATTTTATTTAAAAATAAAATAATATATAAGATTTTTGAAAATGCTTTCAAAATCTTAGTTTGTATTGTTGATAATATAAATTAACAACTTGTTTTCAATGTATGTTAAATTAACTAATAATTAGTATGTTATCATAGATTATTTTTATACCTATAAGTCAGTTAAGTGAAAAAATACAATAACCTATCTAATATTGTTCCTAAAAACAAAAAAAAATCATCATATACATAGGATGTGCCATAAGTACCCAATGTAACAAGAAAAAGCAAGGAAAAAATAAATAAATAATGGTTATTTTTCAGTATTATCACCCTTGATTTCACTATCCTTATGACAATGTTTAAAAAGCAATTCAATCCTTTATAAAAATATTCTGAAAATTTTGTTTAAAATGGTGCATTACTATTATTTGCTGCAGACTCCTCCTCATTATCAAAATGTCTTTTTCAAAAAGTTTTTTTTTTTTAAATCTGGAAACAAAAAATAGTCTGATGGGGCCATATCTGGACTGTAAGATGGATGATTGAGCTCCTCAAAACCACAGTCCTGAATGGCAGCTTTGAACAAGTGCTGCAATGTGGATGTGTGCATTGTTGTGAAATGAGTGCACTCCTCTTGTTAATTTTTATAGTATTTTTTCACATAACTTTACAAACAATTGATGTAATAACATTGAATAACAATCTTGCATTTACAGTAGTATTTCTTTAAAATCCACTATCAGTATGTCCTCACAGTCCCAAAAAAATGACAGCCATGATCTTCTTAGTTGATGATGACACTTAGCCCTTTTTGGGGCTCTCTTCATGGTCTCACCACTTCATTGGTTTCATTTTAGAAGAGGAATCATAATAAAGGATCATAGTTTCATTCTCTGTAACAACAATTTCAAAACAACACCACCTGCTTTGTAGAGAGAAAATCAGCAATCTGAAAGAACCAGATGGTGATGAGATGTGATGGAAGCTGGCTCTTCCATCACATCTCATCACCATAAAAATCTCTTGATGATGATATGTGATGGAAGAGCCAGCTCTTCCATCACATATCATCATCAAGAGATTTTTATCCTGAATGAAAACATTCAGTCCATTCTTTGATGGTGGTATCTGATGGTGAAGCTTTTCCATACACATGATCTAGGTGTTGCTTGGCCTTCTTTTGTAGGAAACTTGATGACTACGCGATACTCGTTTAAAATTTTCTGCCGTATCATGTACAGAAATCTACTGTAAATCACATATTAGTACTACAGCCAGTAAATTTGCATCAAGTAGTACTAAGATATTAATCTTTTATATACTTGTCTCGGCATGTTTTTCAGTTGTGCAGTAGGTTAGGTTGGAAAATATGACGCTTCCTACATATATACACACACACACAAGTTAAACTGTAACTGTTGGTAATAAATGCACACACTTACTCCACACCAGTGGTGCGATTCAAATAATTTAACAACAAAATAAGTTCACTGCATAATGATCAGTTAAACTTATAAATAAATAGTTTTTTTATACTTATTTTGAAAGCCTTACAGTATTTTTTTACACCAATGCATCATGCATATTGAAAAACATAAAATAATGGCTGAATGCATTATGGACTTGAGAAAAAGGTCCCTCTTAGTGCTCACAGAACAAAAACAGTGAAAAAAATGTCAATTATGTTGTATTAATTGTCCATTAAACCAATAAGGAAAAATACTTTTAATTTTTGATCCATCTTCAGAGGATTACTAAACAAAATTAAGAAGTCACATTGCTACTAAATTTGCACTTTTGATTTTCTAAAAGGTTATTATAAAAAATACAAATAAAATTTATTTAGCTTTGAATGTCATGTATTCAAATTATTATGATTACTTTTTTAATGTGTATCATTCTCGGATTGTGTCCGGTATCAATCTCACAGGTGAGCCCTATAAGATTAGTAGACCTTAAACAGTTAGTTTAGAGAGATTTTCTGACAATATGACAAATTTTTTTTTTGGAATATAAATTGCTATATAAATTTTAGTGAATGCCTATTGTCTTCAGGCTTTTATTTAACAAATGTGGGATAACTCCTATGGTAGATTGAATAAAATCCATACCATACCAATAGTTCTTTTTCCACAGGTACTTAAACAGAAAAAATATGTAAATTACTTCTTGAGAGAGTTCAGTATAGCTATTTTGTAGATTGTGTGTATTTGGTATAGAATTGTCAATGATATAGGTAATTTTGTGCATTTCTAACAACAAAGCATTAATTTTAAATAAAACTTCAAACCACGTGTAAAGCAGGGCTGTGGAGTTGAAATCGGAAAAAATGTGTTGACTCCGACTCCAGCATTTCAAATTTAATTAAATTTTCTTTCATTTAAATAGAAAAACTACAAATACATTTTTAAAAATTAATAAATATAAAATTATTTTGTTATAATTCATTTATTTTAAATACAAAATGCAACAATTTAATTTATTAAATATGTATCAATAGTTTTCTTTGTAGTATTTGTGTTTAATAGTTAAATTATTTTGCCCCAATTGAATTTGAATATTATTGGTTCATTCCTTTCTTATCCCCACTCTAAATAAGTATTTTGTTTTTCTGAATGAGCCAGACTAATTGATCAGAGTATATATTTTTCTTTTCTGAACAAGGAGCTGCTGAAGTAGCTAGATTGCACGCTTTTCAGTTGAACTAACTTTTCTGGAAAGGTGAAATTGAAGTGCAAAAGCTGTAGAATAAAGATATGTAGATATAGAATTTTATTGCTCCCCTTTTTCCTCTTATTAAATATTTGTTAAAAAAATTAATTTTTTTATACAAATAAATATTAATGTAAGTTAAATATTAAAAATACTAACTATAAAAGTATTTGGTAAATGCCCGAGGCTTCTTTCAGAGTAGGATAACCCCCTATGAGCGCCTCTGCTCCCCATAAAATGACTTATTTAATTTTGCCAGAGTTGGAATCAGTCGGAGTCGAGTGTTTTTTTACCGACTCCGCAGCCCTTATGCGAAGTGAAATAAGGTTTGTAGAACTATTACATTAACTTTTTCAGTCTACTTCAAGGACTTTTTAAAATAGAACACTATCAGCACTGGAAAGAGTCAACTTTGGAATGCATATGACTGATGCATTCAAATTTCAAACTATTTCTTTTTTTATAAATTTTTTTTTTTGTTATCCAATCAGGTGTGCCTGCATTGTTTGCTATAAAGCAAGTCAAACATAGCTTGCAATGCCTTTGTGATTTGTTTTTTGCCCTTGAAATTGATATATAAGCCCTGGCAGTTTGCTTTAAATATCTCCAATGCCTCCAAACTCTTATGTTAGTTTATGTGGCATATTTGTCATACTAAGGTAGCCTGTTTAGTTCTGGCTTAATCCCATTCCCACTGGCATACGTAGCTAAGGTGGTTTTTCTCTCCTTTTCTATATTAGCTTTGTGTTCTTTGCTTGAGAGACCTTTTTGTAGATCCAATGTATATAAGATCGCTATCAAACCTGTTATCTTTGAGCAGAATTTTATATACCCCGGTGCTCATTTTTATGTCTGCTTGATCTTTTTCATTCCAAAGCATTTGAATATATCTGGTTTACATCTATAAGCAATTTTCGTATTAGTTTATAATGAGAAATTGAAACATATTTATATTGAGAAATTGAGAAGCATATACATATAAGAATTTTACAGATATTTGAAGTAAGCATTGTAGCAGTTTCCACAAAAATAGAAAAAAAAATGAGTTCTGTGTAGTAATAAAACATTTTTATTTAAAGAAGTGGATGGCTGCTCAGATCAAAACAGAGTTGGATGAAGTTTGTGGGGACTCTGCATCTGTGTTGAAAACTGTTTATTTTTGGAAAAACAAGTTTAAATGTGGTTGAAAGTGCACTGAAGATGAAATGTGCTCTGGCTCTAGATGTCCAATTGAGGTAACCATGACAGAAATCATTGACAATGTCCATGGTATTGTTATGGAAGACTGTTAAGTATGAGTGCACACACAATATCCTGCATGAAAATTTGCAGATGAAGCTGTGTGCACAATGGGTGCCATGATTGTTGAATGTTGACCAAAAATGCATGCAAAAGGACATTTTAACTCTGTGTTTGGTGATGTTTAACCATAAACTGCAGTACTTTGACTCAAGTGTATAGTGGTGAATCCATGCAAAGCAGAGGACAGTGAGTGGAAAAGTGTACCAAAGAAAGCAAAGACTGTTTTTTGGGATTTCTGAGGAATCAACCTGGTTGATGACTTGGAGAAAGAAAAAAATAATAATAATAATAGGACCCTATTATGCAACATTATTAGATCAGTTGAAATGATAACTGAAACAAAAATTACCAAGATTGGTACACAAAAAAAATTCTGTTATCTCTACTATAGTATTTGAGATATTAGTTTCAACAATTTTTGAAACAAGAAGCCCTTTTATAGCAAAAAAATGCTTTCACTAAGACAATGCACTGTGTCTCCAATTTTGCCATTGCAACCTTTAATTTAACACTTTGATTTAATTCTTCACCCACCCATATTTTCCAGGCTTGGCCTCATCCAACTTCTTCCTGTTCTCAAACCTTTCCAATGAGCAAAATTTTTATTGAATAAAAATGTCACTGCTGCTGCCAATGCATATTTTGAAGACCCTGACAAAAGCTACTTTTCTTTCTTTGTCTTAGCTTTTTTTCATGTTTATATGATGTCAACATTTCAATCTTCAATAGAGGTGGAGAAGACAATTAATCCTCTGCCACCTTGTCTTTCCATCTCAAATTTGGGTCTTCTAATTAGAAATAGTAAAAATATTGACTTACCAGACTGTATAGTTGCTATCTTTGGATAGGCCACATCGAGACACTCCAACTGCAGTCGAGGGGAATTCTAAGAAACTGTTAAAAGACAAGATATGGTACGACTTAAGCCTGTTTTCTATTTAATCAATTGAAGGAGTCATTCGTGCAAATGGCCGAAGAAAATTGCCACCTAAAGGACCAGACGCTGGTGGAATCACCTTACAATTCCTCATTTTCTTAAGACGTTTCCTGTGAACACAAAGTAGTCAATCTGCCTTATCCTACCCCCACTCTTGTATGTTATAAGCTGGTTCTCCTTTTTTGAAGTAAGTGTTGACTATTGCCAGGTCAAACGCTATTGCATATTTCACTATTCTATCTTCCCCTCTGTTTCTCTTGCTTATACTTTATCCATTATGCATTCCTCTTCTTTCTTTTACATCTTCCCACATCCATTTTACTCCTTGTCAACTATAATACCTATCCCATTCCTCCCTTTTTCATCTGCTCTTCCAGAGAACAGTTTATAGCTGTCCCCAGCTCCTTTCCACCTAGTTTCCTCCAGGTATAAGATTCTCAGCCTTCTTTGTTACATCAAGTCCACTAACTCTGCTCTTTCAGGTCATTGTTACAATGTTTAACACCCTCCTCTTTTTGTTTTACTAACTTCTTTAGCCAAACCTGTCCTTAGTTCAGTAGCATAAGCTCATTTCTTGCAGTTTTCAGGCAACCTGACTTTGCTAGTTGCATGTTGCTTGTAGTGTATTCCCAAACTCTTATATTCTCTTATCCATTATTCCACTTGGTTTTGGTGGCATATAAGTTTTATGGTCAGATGCCCTTCTTGACACTAACCCTTAACCATTTACCAGGCTTGGGATCAGCACCTAATGGACTGGCTTGCCGTCTTGGTGACTGGTGTTTAAAATAATTCATTTTATTAAAATTATAGAAGACTGTTATTTAAAGAAACTTTCTATATTTATTTAAATTTTAGCATTTGTTGTCAAAAAAATTTACTTTTCCAACAGGCTGAAAAAATTGGAAACTTGCTGGACCTCAATGGAGATTTTTTAGAAAAAAATTGATTTTATTTTTCAATATAAACTGTTTAACTTGCTTTTTTACCCTACTTATCAAACAAATCTCACAGATTCATATATTCTAATACAGAGCTATTGCAACAAAGTGAGAAAAAGTAATATTTTAAAAATATTACGATACTTGCATGGTTTACAACAAAACTGCTTTGCTTAGCATTAACAAAACAAGGGTTCATCATAATGTTAGTAAAAAATAGTAAATTGAAATGTTCAAGATTATCACAATTATTATTATTTTTCATTTAAATTCCAAATAAGCCATTTGATGTATTCTTCCATTTAAAAATATCAACATACAGGAGTTCCTGTAGTCATGAACAATTTGGACAGTACATCTAAAATTTAAATTTCACTGAAGTTCTATTGCTGCTTTGAAGTCAGTCTTTGATCAGCAATAAATTAATTAATTAATGTGGATTTATTTCTATTGCATATTGTCATTTTTGCACGAATTCAGTAGTGATATTTGAAATATTTAACAAACGGTTTGCTAACAGAAAATTTTTCCTTAACAAATTTTTTTCGCTCAAATGGTGCATTAGCAACATTAGCGCAAAAACTGACCTTAAGATACCCATATAAATAAAAAAGATGCGTTCGCAAAATTAAGTCAGTTAAAATTTAACATTGTTTATGCCAGAACTATATTTTTTTATATATAAATAATAAAAAAGTGTTCAAAATGGTTTATTTTGTACATATTTTATTACGACACATGGTTCCGCAGCCATCTTGTATTTTCTCGCACGTGTGGGATCTCTCTTATGCTGGATCTAGTGTCAAGAACTCTCGAGTCAACCGCGATTGAACCTCGTTTCAGTCGAGATTGAAACGGTCGAGGGAGATCACACCAATGCAAATGGGGTATAAGACTCTAGTTTAGTAGTGTTACAGAGTATAATACGTACATTTTAATGTGTTTTTTAAAAGAAACAAAACCACTGAGAAACATTGTGTGTGTTTAACACGGTTCAGAAAACTTTGAAAATGTTAACAATGGGCTCGGCCAAACCTGTGCGAACCTGCTGAATATCACCACTGCATGAATTGTGATGTTTCATCACCATTGGCGATGTGTCATAAAAGTCAATATCATTGGAATAATTGCTTTTTTGCTATTATTTGCAATTTTTATAAACTTTTACAATTAGTGCTTCAAAAATGCATCCAAAACATAATAGTAAATCTAAGAGTGGAGATTACTTTTCTTGATAATAGAGCATTTAAGTGGACATCATAAAACTAAATGTATTTAGGTGGAAAAAAAAAAACACATTTTAAAAATCTTCTACTAAGCAATAGCAAGCCGGTAAATAAGTGTAATGTATTCTATTAAGTACACTAAAGGATCAAACACCGAGTGGTTATTCTGTGTACAAATGTAATTTCTAGGTTAGTTTAACTTATGAATATTTTGACTTATGACAAAACCTCAGGAACCTAACCTGTTCCTACAGAGGGGAGCACTATATATGATTATCTTGCTAAGATATTGAAAAAATTGAAAACAAATTTATTTCAATTCCTACATTATTTTTTCTTTAATTTGGTAAAAGTAACATTATTCTTTTCAAGTTTATTAATAAATTTTATATCAATATATTAATACTTTTAAATATTTCTTCTTAAAAATAATACATACTGTATATATAAAAAAAATCATAAAGCAAATTTTACAAGTTGAATTTTTATTTCAGGGCTTAACTTCAAATGTAACATTAGGAGGAAAAGTTTTAACTCAGTGGCTTATTCAATCAATTCCTTTAAATAATACTAAATTGATTCATAATTTAGATAAAATATATCATCCAAGAAATCCAGAAGAAACTTCAGTCAAGGTACCAGGATTTTTTAGTGTGAATTTTACCCTTCCAAATGGTACACTTTTAGATTCATTCCTTAATCTTCGTAATTGGACGAAAGGAGTGGCTTTTCTAAATGGATTCAATCTTGGACGTTACTGGCCAGTAATGGGACCTCAGGTTACATTGTATACTCCAGCAACATTATTTAACCCTTATCCTCAACAAAACAATTTAGTTTTATTAGAACTAGAATCCACATCTTGTAACATAAATGAATCTTGCACTATTGAATTTGTGAACCAACCCATTCTAGATGGTCCAACACCAATTAAATAAAGTAAAACAAACATCTGTAAACTGAATTTTCCCTTATAATAAAGTAAAATCATACAATAAAACAACTTAATTATATGTATGTTTTCAAACAGAATGTGTGATTTAAATATCTTATAATTTTATTTTCAATTTGTGAAAACCTAGTTGCAAAAATTAGCTTTACACAGATATTTGTACTATTGGTCTATAATTATATAATTTACTATATTATAATCTATTTGATATGTAAAATTGTATAAATTAGAATTGCACAGTACCAAATATTTTTTTAGTTTGACGTTTCCATTTTTAACAGGTCTTAGCAGTTTTTCTTTCAGGATGCAGTTTCCTGCCTTCCAACTCAACTTAATGTTTAACCCTTTTTTTTTAAAACATCTTNGACTCAAAACTGATCTGGTGAATTTTTCAAATGCATAAAATTAATTAAAAAGAGCTATATAATTAGGATATATATATATAAAACAAAAAAAGGCAACGTAAGTAGACAAAGTAAATCTTTGTTTATGAAACAAACTACATGTAAGAATTAAATCGTAACGTACATTGGTTTTAATTAATATAAATGCTAAATTATTTTATAGTGACTACAATGAAATTAATATTGATATTCTTATAAAAAGATTACAAAACTTTGTACAATAAATTCAACAATTTTTACATGGCAGTAAATGTTTTGGATGGACATGGTTAAAAATTTAAGTTTCTGCTAGTAACACAATATGGTGGTAATATCAGGATCTTTGTAATCTTATAGAAGATTTTATATATTCTTAATCAAATAAATACATCCGATATATTACTTTTTGCGTGTAGTGCAATTTAACAAAATATCTGAAAGTAAGGTTTTTCAATATTGAATTCAAAGTTTATATACTAGGTTTTCACATAAGGTGCTACAAGTCAATAATTTGAAAATTTATAAGAATAAAAGTTAAATATTATTGAGACATAATTTTTAATGCCTTAAAAATAAGGACTTGCCTATTTTCCCTTTAGGGTGGAAATGGGAACAACTTCAGAATTTCAAATGGAATCCCAATTTTTTTGGGGGCTGCAATTTCAAAAAATTATAGACCTATAAATTCCCACTGTTGTCTGTCTGTCCTTTATTAATCTCAACAATGGAGTTTGATAGATGAATGTCGAAACCAGATATTGAAAGATTAGGGGCAGGAGGCCCTGATATATGAACTTCTGGTACAAACCAGAAGTCATGTTATTTCAATTAAAAATTTTTTCCCTGAAAGGAATTAGCAATAGAGTTGTGTCGATCATCTGTCTAATGGGAAAGTATGATAAATAGGGGCAAGACACTAAAATATATGCTCTCCACCTCAAATTAGTATTGTAATGTAAATTAATTAAAAATTGCAGCCTGGCATTGCGACGATATCACAATAAATAATGCTCAAGTAATTCAAACATGTTTGGATAACAATAGAATTAGACACAGATGATCAATTGATGTCTAGGTCACAGGACCTGACCCCAATTATTTCCTATTGGGTTTCATAAAGGATCAACAACTGACCACAATTCAAGATATTTTAGCACATGCATCACTTATTCTTTGCTTCATAACACTGAAAGTGTTGTGCTCCATTTGAGAATCTATTACTCAATTACTGAAATGTTTAGATGGAAATTGACATCTCTCTGAACATTGTTTATTAGATGTATTTGTAATTATTGCTTTTATTAAATAAAATCTATCACACTAACCTTGTATAGCTTTGCAGTTATTACTTAGAACATATCACTAATGTTTTCGACCCATTTCTAGGGTTTTCTTCAGGTGTTCTGTAAGTTTTTCTGGTGCGATTCCTATTTTTAATTGTTCTGGTCTCCAATGCTTTTACCTTTGGAATTTATTTAAAAAATAATAATAAATAAATAAATTCTGAAGATAGAAGCATTGGAGACCAGAACAATTAAAAAATCAGAATTGCACCAGAAAAACTTACAGAACACCTGAAGAAAACCCTAGAAATGGATTGAAAACAGTGATATGTTTTAAGCAACAACTGCAAAGCTATACAAGGTTAGTGCGACATATTTATTAAATAACTGAAAAAATAAAGGAATGGGGAATAAATTAGCATAAAAAACTTGCCTTTTTAAAATTAAACCATTCTGAATAAAACATTTTTTTATTATTTAAGAGATAATCCAAAAATATGAAAAAATTGGAATTCCATTTTAAATTTTGAAGTAATCTCCAGCCATACACCCACAAAGGATATAGGCAAGGCTTTATTTACAGCATTAAAAAAGCCTTTAAAAATATTTATTTATTTACATTTGCTCAGTAATACATGTAGACTCATAGTAATCACATGCTCTATAGCATTTTTTATTTTATTTATTGTTAATTATTTAAAAAAAGATAGACAAAACATTATAATTTACCATTGTAACTCAAGTCTTCTTTTATAATAGCACTTATACTTTACTTTTTTAAATCTTATTTTATATAAAAATATTGGTAAGAATAAATTTTAATATTTATATTAAAAATTTTATTCTTACCAATTTATTTTTTATCAGAAGCATATTTTTCTGAATTATTGACTCTTAACATCTTATATGAAACATCCTTTATAACTAAAAAGTCTTACTATTAAGCATATTAGAAATTATATCATTTCAATTATTATATATTGGTGAAGTTTATAAGTTAATTGACCCAGAATAATTCCAATGTAAACAGTAGTTTGATTTCTACAACAACAATAAAGATAATACAGTCGACCCCCCATAACACTGTTGATTATTCCGTTTTATATGAATTCCATGTTGTATGAGTCACTTAGATTTTACAAATACAAGTGACTCGTACAACATGGAATTCATATAAAACTGAATAATCAGTGTTATGGGGGGTTGACTGTACCTAAAACCGTCAACTTAATGAACAATATATAGGAAAAATTTTCAAAGCTAAACAATATTCTATAAAACTTTGAAGCAAAATTGGAAAAATTTATTTATCTATGATAATTAAAAAATCCAGAAAAAACATTAAAATTAGAAATTTGTAAGTGATAAATGCATAGTTTACAAATTTCACAAAACAAATTAATTTTTGAAAAGATCCTTTATAGCAGATATTTTGTAAAATTTAAAATGTACTGTACAACATTACATTGTTATAATGAGATATATTTGCAGTTTCAAATGAAAGTTTAAACCTTTGTGTTGTATTTTCTGAAAAATCTACAAAAAAAAAGTTTCAGCAAGTAATTAACAATAAATTGATAATTAGTTATTTTATAAAGAACAGAACTATTTTTATTTTGGCTACTAAAGAGTTAAGTGTAAAATATAGTAATTAAAGTCAATGTATTAAATTGGAATTTAAAAATTTTTTAAATATAATTATTTTTTTTTTTTTTTGTGAAATTTAACAAGTGAAATTTTTAGAAGCAACAAAAGAAACAAGATAAATTAAAATGGATAATGATTTAAAATATTTTGTATACAATTTTAAAATATAAATATAAAATAAACAATATAAGAAAGTTTTGAACCATCAATATATATATATATATATATAAAAAGCCTTATAGGGATATTAGCAACAATGACAACATTAAATAGAAATACAACAGTAACATTGCAATCATATATGCAAAACCATAAAATCACTGTAAAGTTTTACAGGCAAAAACTTTTCATTAATAAAAAAAAAA